TGTCGAAAATAACAAAACAACAAGAATTCACTGCAAAAATCCGAAATATTTTTTTCAGAAACCAGGGGGGTGTGAAAACTGTGGCGGGCTCACAATTGAGCCTTGTTCAGTGGCAAATACCATGAATTTAGGGACCCGTAGTCATGGAAATGGCGTCATTTTCACTCAAAATCCGCCATGTTTTTGGCTTCACTTGGTTGACTGAACGAAGTATAGGAGCAGGTCCTCCAGTTATTATACAGCTCAGTGATTGCGGCTCGCTTTTGCCACAGAATAAAGACATACAGAAGTGTATCTTCTTATTAAAAGTGCGTAAGGGATTTTTTCAGTCCGCCATGTTCTTAGCAAGTGCCCTAAAGAGAGGCAGTCACCCCCCTGAAAACATATTAAAAATTTAATATTCCAGGGGGGTGAATGCCTCACTTTAGGGCACTTGCTAAGAACATGGCCGCCAGCTATTTCGGTAAAAAGCGCCTTACGGTTTTGTAATGGAAGTTACACTTCTGTATGTCTTTATTCTGTGCTTTTGCTGAATGAAAACTCGTTTTGCGCCCGCGTACGATCTTTTACTAGTCAGCGACGCTTTTCAATAGGGGAATTTCTCGAGTTACACGAGGCTATTTTCTAACTTTATTTGCATTTTACTCATTAGTTTCATCGGTGACCTATCTTCAAATTTTGACCACGAATTTATTTTGCGGTAAATTTTATAAATTTCAAATTTAAAAAAAATCTGTAGTGTGGAAATTTCGCAATAAATTTTTCGCTTTTAAAAAAATCACACACTACAGAATTTTTTTAAACTTTCACAACAGTTGCAGAGCATCATTCCTTATTGATATATGAAATAAAAAAGATAGGTCACCGACATCGTTTTTGAGATAGCGGCACATTTAGGGGTTAAATTGGAAGGCTTTATGCTGTCGTCATGTTGCCATGGGAACATTGCCATCGTCGAAATCTAGTTCGAAATATTCCTTAGGTGACCAATATTGCCACCAAGTCGAAAAGAATTCGCGTTCTGCGCGAATAAGCATGTTTTACGGAATTATTGCTTAAACAAGAATAACTGTAGGGAGCCACCTTAAAGAAGCCTAAAATGTGTATGTAATTTTGTCTCCTTGTAATGAATAAATAAATCACACAATAAATCTTTTCAACGTGCAATCGTTTTGTTTTTAGATCAAAAATTCAAAATTTATATGGGGAGGGGGGGGGGCGAAATTCCTAAAGGGGGGGGCGATACTCCTAGGAGATTTGCCCCCCTGGGGGGCGATATTCCTAGGAGATTCGCCCCGGGGGGCGAATATCCTAGGAATATCGCCCCCCTTTTGAGAGGTGGGGCGAATCTCCTGGGGCGGGCGAATCTCCTGTGACACCGGCCCTTAAATCCCCCCCCCCCCAGGGCCAGGGAGATATATTACCTTGGGAAATTTGGGCTACCTTTAAGACCGAACAAATATACGCAATTTATGAAACTGAATCTCTCTTATACACATATTTGACCAATCTATAAGAAGTCTCAGTCCCAAGAAAATAATGATGGTATAATCGGCAAAACTTTGGCGATTAGCGTGAGCGGCTCAAATTCCTGACGCGTGGGTACGTGGCTCATGGTTACCGAAAAAAACAAGTGGTTGTACTTTGTATCATTTAGTTCACTGTAGTTGCAATATTTATTACATAAGGAATGTGAAATAAATCAGGGGCGTTAATTAAGCTGAATCGAAGATATAAATCTACAGCGCAGTGTTTTTATTTAATGTAAATAAAATCTAAATTAAATCTAAATCTAAATAAAATCTAAATAAAATCTAATAATCTAATAATCTAATTTAATCTAATAATTAAATCTAAATCTAATTTTTTTATTTAATGTAAATAAAATCTTGTGACGTGACTCCCGCGTCGTGCGGGTGCGAGCTTAATTGCTCCGCGTTTTATGTTAATTTTACATCACAATTTGTTCAAAATTGAACTTAAAAACTTACGGGATTATCATTAACGAATATATCTACCTGTGACAAGTGGGAGTTTCGTGAATTGCAACGAAATTGTTTGGATTTTCGTCGTATACAGGGTGTATCAAAAAAAGCGCAATCCTCGACTAATATGTAAATTGCTAAACAAATAATAGACGAAAACTTTAAAGTTTACATTCATTTTAAAGCGTAGCCATTCAGCTTTCTAACAGTGGGTTGTTTCTTAAATTTGATTCATTGATTCGCGGGTAATAATACTTTACGTTATTGCGATTGGAGATTAAAAAAATTGAGATGGAATAACAAATCGTTCTCGTGAAAATAACTGATTTTTTCATTAAAACAAAAAAATGTTGCATTTTATTAAATGGATTGTAACAATAAGTATAATTACGGCTTTTCTTCCACTATTTTTAACTCAGTTCGAAACTTCAAATGCGATATAATTTTGGCTTGGACCATCTAAGCTGACTGACATCAACTTGCTATAATTTCTGTTTACATTACATCGCAATTCGATGACACTCTCACTCCACTAACATCCGGACGAAGGGCTTTCGCTCGAAACGTCGTTTAGTTCTGTTTACTTCTGGTGTCTTAGAAAACTGACCGCAGTGGGCCCAGATTTTCCGGGCTAGGTCACCTGGCCTGGCTTGGCCAAAGTTTGCCTGGAAGAAGCTCAGCCACGCAAAAGATTGTGGTTTAAACACTACTATAAGGGCTTACCTTCACTCTCAGGTCTCATGTACAACAAACTCAGAGACTTCCACTCATCATGACTTTTAAATATCTTGGTTGATTTCGACAAATTTTCCAGTCTATGGTTGATTTCCTCCTCCATCGCTTTATTACCCCAGTTCCGTTTCTCTTCAGATCTTCTAGTCCATGGCAGAAAATCATTTTCATTTATGCCCTATAGGGGAATTAAAAAGACTGATTAGTGCGCGATACTTTATTATTTTGCTCTGTCTAACGCCAAACGATTTTACTCTGCTGCTCTGGAGCACTGATGCTCAATGGGTGAATTAGACTGGATATAGCTCAATTAACAGTATTAATGCTTTTCTCTAAAAGTTCTGTAAATACCATCGCTGTTGTTATGGGGTAGCATGCTTTGCGGGAAAGGTAAGCTGGTGAGATGGTTTGGATACGTAATACGAGATGATGGAAAGACAGTCGAAGACATTATGATATTGAAAGATGTTGTGTAGTAAACATTGGAGAAAAGGTGAAGACAGAGACAGTATATGGAACATAATAAGAAAGATGATGAAAAGCAGGTCAGAGATGAAGGGATGAAATGGAACGAGAACAAAATAAAATGGAGAAATCAAATGAAAATGAAATGAAAATAAAATGAAATCAAAATGAAGTGAAGAGATCAAAAGATGTAATGTATGGATATTGCAGATAAGGTGAAGGAAGCAAGAATGAGATGGTATTGAGATGTAATAAGATATCATGAAGGAGAGCTGGTCAAAGACAATTATGAAATGAAGATGTCAGAAGATGTTGGGCAGTAGACACTGTAGAGAAAGTGAATGAAGCAAGGTTCAGGTGGAATAAATACGTAATAAGGAGAGATGAAGGAGCAGTCGGGTCAGAGATTATGGAACCACATTGCAGAAAAGGTGAACGAAATAAGGTGGCATGAAGATCTCCATGTGTTTTTCAGCTAGTTGCATCTCTATCAATCCGAAGCTTTCACTATAGGCACTGGCACAGACCGCTTGGAATGGTATAGACACGTGACAAAAAGAGAAGAAACAGAGCTTGTCATAGACATTATGGAATGAAGAGATCAGAAAGTCTGTGGTGGTAGACATCGCAGAGAAGCTATCGAGGGAAGCAAGGTTGAGATGGTACTGGTATGGACACGTAATAAAAGATGAAGGCGAACTTGTCAAAAAGAAACAAAGGACTGGAGAGATCAGAAGGTCTGTGGTGGTAGACATTGCAGAGAAGTTATCGAGGGAAGCAAAGTTGAGATGGTACTGGTATGGACACGTAATAAAAGATGAAGGCGAGCTTGTCAAAAGGAAACAAAGGACTGGAGAGATCAAAAAAGAAATGGATTGTATACAAATATCTAAATATTAAAAAAAAACTGATGCACGCAATTTCGGACGACTTAAGTAGAAGTAAAAGAAAAAACACATTATAAGTGCGTGGGATCAGCACACGCAAATGTACACTGTAGGCTCACCTCACAATTTCGTTGATAGACGCATTGTTTAATGGTGCCCTGAAGTCGCTCACGTTCAGTTCTACTTTCACAAACAAAATGAAAACTCGACTCAGAGAACAACAAGAACAACGAGCCATTACTCTCGTCCGCTTTCCAACCAAGTAGACTCTTGAGGTCCCATTTCTTTAGAACACTTCGAGTCTTGTTTTCCAAGAGTACAACATCTTTAGGACTGATGCCCAACAGTCGTTTGTTCAAATGAGACTTGCTGCATGTGATCTCCTGAAATAAAGTGAGAAGATTCTGTAAAACACAATGATGTATTGTTAATTGCAAAATATAAAGCTCTGCGAATTTGAGCATGGGTTAGTGGCTTGACTAAAAGGTATGGCTAAATTAAACTAACTTTATTATAGCTTTATCAGTTGTAAACTGTTCTTCCTAAAGATCTCGTTTTTCTGTTTCCACGTTTTTAGCCTGTCGCAACTGTCGTCGAGATAGAATTCGAGTCTATCTCGACAAAACTGCTGTAACTGTCGTGAACTATTGCCAGCGTGGCCGGCTCTTCTAGGGCAGAGAATTGAGGAAGGGCCTGCCCAAAAGCGCAGGTAAAATCGATCACTCTCGGCAGTCAGCTGCTGATAATTGTGATTGGCTCAATTCCCTCCCCTAGAAGAGCATGCCACGCTGGCGTGTCACGACAAGACTTTTCTTCATTCAGTTACGACAGTTACAACACGTTCGCGACAGTTCGAAAACAGGCTTTATTCATATGGAAAACAGGCTTTATTCATCAAGTGTTACTACAGAACTAAAATTATTTATTTATACTGGATATAGCTCTATCATATGGGTAAACGGTTCCTTCAAGAAGTCCAGTAAGGATCCTCCATTATTCATCCAGTATTGCCAGAGGACGAATCTTAATTAAACTAAACTAACTTTATTTATACTCGATAGCCCTATCAGTCCTGAACCGCCCCAGTACAGCAAGAGCAATCCCTCTTTGTTGCCATGTTACTAAAGGAAGAAACCTAAATTCAACTAAGTTGATGTATACTGGATACAGTAGTTCTATCAGTTCCAAACTGTTCTGTCTAACGTATTACCACAGGAGGAAACGGGAGTTCCTGGAATGGATGATTCCAGCTTTACACGAAATTTTGATCGAGACAAAAAGAACGAAATCCATTACCATAGCTGCATGGAAAGAGCATAAAGTAAAATTGCAAAGTTTGGTTGCAAATTGTTGTAAAATGAGGAAAATATAGCTCTGTGAAGTTCGCAAAATTGGTATATATTTGCATTACGTGCAGGAAAAACAACCATTTTGAGCCGAAAGTGGTTATTTTTAACGCGCGTAATACAAATATATACAAAATTTCCGAACTTCACAGGGCTATATTTTCTTCATTTTACACCATTTAGCAACCAATCTTTGCAGTTTTACTCATTCTAAGACGCTCTTTCTAGCTGTGGTGTTGGATTTTGTTCTTCTTGCCTTGATCAAAATTTAGTCTATAGCTGGAACCACCCATGGACCTAAACTGTTTGGAAAAGACTAAAAGCAATCCTTTCATGCGATTGATGCGAAATTATAACAAGACGTTGATCTATATGTCGAACTGAACCAATGTTATAATTATTATTTTCCTATTTTACCTTAACACGAAAGAATTTGCAACCATACGGTACCATTCCTTGGCAGCAATCAATAAAATCATGCTTCGCCTTCCGTTGTGAGGGTGCTTCTCTTACAATCTGTTCATTATAGACACGAACTCTCTTATATACGTTCTTGACTTTATGAAAAGCAGGATTGAGGCAAAGTTTTATACGCGATGTTGAAATCTTCTCTAAACCAGCGTCTGTTACAAATACTTTTGCACTTGGTTGGTCTCCCGCTGACGATTGCTATATAGAGACAACGAGAAATAAATTGTTGTTTCTATCTTATCTAAGAGTGGTATAACGATAGAAATACCTCGTTTGGTACATTTCCAATAGACAGTGATCAACTCGAAAGCTAGACAGTGGTCAACTCGAAAGCCTTACGCTACTTTGACCACTGTGCACATCTGATTACTATATACCTCTACATAATTTTTACTCTTTTATTCAATTTACATTTATACCATTTATATAATACTTGTACATAGATGTATGTGTGCTAAATTAAATTCTTCTCTTCTCCAATAGAATATGATACTTTTTGTGTGTGCAGGCGTTATGTACACTGTGGGAATCGAACCCGCGACTTTTGGGATACTAAGTCCACCATTGATACGAAATAACATCAACTCGAACCGACTTGACCTTGTAGCTCAGTTGGTAGAGCATTGGACTAGTATCCCAAAGGTCGCGGGTTCGATTCCCACCGTGGCCAAGCTAACTTTCAGCCTGCTCGGTGTGGATGCACACTCAGAGTAACATCACAAACTGAAACATTATTTCCAATAGAAGTTGGATAAAAGAAGGCCGAATTTTCATATAGGATGGTTCAATTATATGACAAATTACAAAAATGTTCGAGAATGTTCTAAAACCACAGCAAGCTTCTACAACAAGCTCTACCAAGCCAGCAATCACTAATTAATGTACAGGGGTCGGTTGTACGAAGGCTGGATAGGACTATCCACCGGGTGGTGATTTTTTCAACGATTGTAAAAATGCTTCAAAGCTATAAAACTACATACGAATATGGATCGAATATGAATAAATAAAGGAAGCTTTAATTTTTTAATTTTTACATACAAAATTCTAATCTGAGTTATGCCAGTTAATGGCAACTTAAGAAAGCTTGAAAAAATCACTATCCAGTGAACAACGCTACTTGCTGTTCATACAACTGGCCCCAGAAGCAGAGTAACTTCTGGTGTCAAAATGGAATTGAATAACTTGTCCCAATTTACAATTTATTGGAGTTTATAATTCATCGCAAGGATTACCTTATATATATATGGTACTCACCTCGATATATAACTGCAATGCAGCTAGATATATTGCATCATCAATTCTGGCAGGGAGAGCACCACTGAGGACAGCTTGTTGACACTGGAATAAAAAGTACTCAATTGTTATACGTTATATTTATTTGGCAACACTTTCCATGTAAAGAGATAAAAACATAGCGCACCATGGGACCACTGGTCCCAGAAACGTTTTAATTTATGGTCAGGTAACTAACTAAATTAAAGTAACTGCAATTATCAGATACTGATATGAAGTTCATTCTCAGCCCCTTGATCAGGTGGCTTAACAATGAACCCATTGAATTTAAGATCAAATATCAAAAAGGTTCAGGTTTTACTTCCACTGCCGCCCCATTAGCCTAATGGATTATTAACCAATCACATGCGTTTGATATATCCGATTAACCAATCAAATTAACCAAATAATCCGCACACCTGGATTGTCATAAGGGCTAATAATAATTTATTATTATAATTATTATTTTAATAAATTAATAATAGTTCATTGCAGACTTACACTTCTAAAGAGGACATCGTGATGACAATGATTTTCAGGTGGTAAAGATATTGATGTGTTTTCTTGATGATGCACAAGAAGATCTTCGAGATGTTGTGCACACACTAAATATGGACCTTGAAGTACGGCTAGATTGTTGATTATATTATTGAGTTCAACCTAGAGACATAAATGTTGGAGCGTTAGAACTAACAGAGCTATATCTATAGCGTAGGTTTTCGTCCTGTAGTAAGACTGACCCAATAAAGGATAACCCTTACTGGACTTCTAGGGAGAGCAGTTTAGAACTGACAGATCTATCAAGTATAATTAAAGTTAGTTTAGCCTAGGTTTCCTCCTGTAGTATCACTGGACAAATAAGGGATGGCCCTTACTGAAAATCTAGGGAAAGTATTGGAACTGACAGAGCTACTGTATCAAGTATAAATAAAGGCAGTTTAGGTTAAGTTTCCTCCTGTAGTATCACTGGACAAATAAGAGATGGCCCTTACTGGACTTCTAGGGAGAGCAGTATAGAACTAAAAAAGCTATCCAGCATATAATGAAAGTGAGCTTAAATTTCCTGCTGTAGCAATACTGGATCAATGAGAAATGACCCGTACTGGACCACTAGGGAGAACAGTTTATAACTGATATAACTATCCATGCAGTGTAATGAAAGTTTGTTTAGTTTGGATTTCCTCCTGCACTAAGAAAGACCGATAAGGGAGTGGGCCTTAGTAGACCTCTAAGAAGAGCTACAACTCCTTACTAGACCTCTAAGAAGAGCTACAACTACTTTCAATTTCAACCAACCTGAAGAGTAGGATTTTCTCTAAAATCCTCAGAGAATTTCCCAAGCCATGTTGCCCAGATTCTCATCAGAGAAATATGTATGGAAGGCAGACACCGAGAATGATCTTTAAACATGCCAGTTTCTTCATCAAACAACGAACGCAATGCTGGATTACGAAACCTGAAAAAAAAAGAAACAAATGGCATTCAAAACATGTTAAGAGTCCACGCTAAGGCTCATATTTTCTGATTACGCGGATTTCCTACAGTGTTCAATATAACAGTCCACATCTTCCGAGAAAAATGTCAATATGGTCGTCTAGCGATTTCCCAGCACGGACGTTTTGGCCGGTCACATTAATTCGAATAATTTGTCCTTTATTCATGCAAAATCGAAACGCAATCTTTCACTATTAACTGTTACAAATGCAAAGGAACTTAGATATACTGATTCTACTTGAGGTCCTCCGATTAGAATTTGGGCAAAGATATTTATTAATTTAGCTGACTTTGCTCCAAGTGGATCCACAACGAGAAAGCTAAAAAAATGCTTTTGCCGAGGTGGGAATCGAACCTTCAACCTTTGGTTTGCTAGTCCAACGCTCTATAAACTGAGCTATAAAGTGAAGTTGATTGGAGCAAGTGATGTTTCGAAAATTTGTCTAATTCTTTCAATAAGTGTATATCTTATGATCTTAGGTCTAATGACTGTGGGTTAAAACTCAGGAAGGAATTTGGAAAGTCGAGGTAAATTTTATTGGATAAAGCAACTTTGGACTGACACCACACTGTGCAAGTTGAAAAATTGGTAAAATGTTGCATTATAGCAACGGACAACCGGAACGTGTTTAGAACCCACAAAGAACAAAAGTGTATAGTTGTATTCCCCAAGCACCCTGCATAGTTCTTACCTGTGAGCCAGTAATCTCATGAGTACAACAGCATTGGTATACGTTGAATATGTAGCCAAAAAGAACTCAATCACTTGATCCTCAGTTGCCCTACTCTTTCTAAATTTCGCTGCCTTAACTCTCGATCTGTTCTTTGGTGAAGGACTGAGCAAAGGTACTCCTCCCCATAGAGAGACAGCTCTGGTTGTCAAGATTCTCACCAGAGTCTCCAAGCTTCCTCCCTTGATATAAGGCTCTTGGTTGGGAGATTTCTCAGTGTATAGAGGTCTTGGTTCTTCTGTATCGAAGTCGAACAGGTAGTCGCACTCGTCATCGTCACAGTTTAAGTAGACAAGAGCACGGCATACATGGTAGTAAGCCCTAACAAAATTTTAATATTAACTACATTAAAGATACATTAACCACAACATGACATAGTAACTGTTACTAAGTTGTAACTATTCTTAGTTTAACAAATATTCTATTCATCAATAAATTTTTATTAATATGGGTGGCCTATTAATCACCTAGTACGTGATTTAAGCAATTTTAACAAAAAAAATACGCCTGCCGTCCTATACAGAGGAGCCCTTGACGAATGCAAAAACAAGGGGGGGGGCTTCGCAATATTTTCAAATTCTCTGAGACGATTGGTGGCCAGATAAGTTGTAAGATCTTTTCAACGATGAAAGTCTGGTGTCCTTTACACTTTTAACAGTGCAAATTGGATCGAAAATTTGTAGTTTATTGTATCTTAACCTGATGAACTAAACGTCGTTAAAAACAAAAACGCCTGTCTATGTAGACTGGTATTGAATCTGAGAAGATTTGTCAACCGTACCTTGAATCGTTTGGCACAAACTTCTTCAGTGCTTCAACAGCATCAGAGTTTATAAGCAGATTATGGTTGCCATCATACATAGCGATGTTGGCTAGAGTCACTGCAGCATTATAAACAATCTCAGGATCTCTTTCTTCCAACGCTTCCAAAAGTAAACTCACAGACCTGAAATGAAACTTGTAAATTTCAATAACAAATGAGTGTCTACGGCACATTGGTTAATGAATAAACCTTTGGCCCTTTACCTTGGGCGAACAGGGTTCTAGAAGAAACTCAGTACATCTTTATACTTAGTAAAAACCTCATCTTGATCAACTTTTTCTCTGGCAAAGTTGATATAGATGTCAGATGAATTTTAGCAGAAAAAAACAAAGGAAAACTAATTTTCAATTCATCTAATGACATCATATCCAGAATCAGTGACCAGGGTTATTGGTATAAAGATGTTCTTCTTAGACTATTGGTTGTCGCACTTTAATGTAACTAACTCAGTTGCATATAAGAAGAGTGCTTCCAGTTTGAATTTCGGTTTTCTCCTGTAGAACCAGTACCATTGGACAAATCACAGATGGCCCATACTGTTTTCACGTGCGAATGAGGCTAAATTATATATCCAGACATCAGACAACTGGAAACCTAAAACACACTAAACAATGTACCCACAACATCCGAAAACCTCATACGAGGTAACACAATTACAACTATTCTTTGAGCAAAGAAACTTGTCAACCCTCAGTCTTAATACATGTACAAAAGTTATGTACTGTTTGTGCTTACCGTGGAGATCCAAGTTCCCGTTGCATTTTCAAATGTGTACTAGAAGCAGCCAGCAAACGAGTTGCGACAAGTCTTGGACTGAGTTTTGCTGGAGTATCTTGTTGCGATCTACAAAATATTTTGAGTTTATTTTCAATATGCTTTAACATGCTTTTATAACATTGCTTGTTGTGCTCAGAGCGTCAATACGTCAAACAAGGAACTTATTGGGTTCGACTTTGAAACCGCTGTACATAGGTTTTAACCCTTTCCTTACACGCGTAAAAATCATCATGTTGATGCAAGTTGTTCACAACAGGAGCGAACAATGTTGTGCTGCACCCCGTGAACAATATTGTTAACAATGTTGTTGAACCATCAACGTTGTTGCAATTTGTTGACAATCATGTTATCAACTTGCAACAATATTGATGATTGAACAACTCGGAACAACTTGTTAACAATATTGTTCACGGGGTGCAGCACAACATTGTTCGCTACTGTTTGAACAACCTGATCAATTTTTACCCGTGTAACAGAGGTGAAACTTAACACTTGCCCGCTTGCCTGGAGCAAGTGAATATCATGATGGGCAAGTAAACGTTTTATCTTGCTTGCCCGATTGGGCAAGTTGCCTTGCCACAAAAAGCTGGGCATCTTTAAGTTTATGTTTTCATTGTTGGATAATGTTTTTATAGTGCATTTACTTGATTCAAATTTTGTTTTTCTGGGCCAAAGCTAGATCGGTATACAGCAGTGCGAGAACGGGTCGACATGTTTTCCCCTTAATATATACCCCCTATTGTACCTACGTGTACCCCAGTGGCCATTGTCTGATGGCAAGTGAATTTTATTCAGGGTAATTAATTTTCATGTCAAAAAAGTAAAGTTACACCACTGCTTAACGTACGGTTTGTACGCTTGTAAAATTGGTTTGAATGCCAGGTGATACTTCTAGTAGCAAGCAAATTAAACTCGGCTACGTCTCCCTGTACTGTACAACGTTTCTCTTATGAGTTCTATAAATAATTAGTGTGACCACAACATGAGTTAGTCCAACATATTGTCAGACGACGTTTACAGGACTATGTTACACTATATGACAGAGTAATTCTTAAAAAAAAAACATACCGCGATGTTTTTCGTTTCTTGCCAGTGGTTGCATCAGTCGTTTCTGTGATTCCCGCATGAAGAGCGGATTCTACATCATTCTGATAATGTAAGAGGTTTAATAAAGGACCAGAAGGGATGTTGGTCATCGTAGAGTTGTATTCTCGTTCACATTTCACGTCTTTTAACAGGTTATCCAACACTTCTAAACATGTCGTCTGAAAGAGATGGATATTAAGGTCACTGTGAGGTGTTCAAGTGAGGAAAATTCTCACCCACCCATAACGTGATAGGCCCCAAATTGAGGAGGACAAAAATCCTCATATGAGTCACAATTTAGGGTCATCATCTACCTATACTATCCAGGCTCGTGATTGGTTGATTATAACAATGAAAGACAATAGAACTATAGAAATCGTCTTTCTAAAGAACGAGTCACAAACAATGATCACCTTTGTTTCTGAAAGCCAGTCACAAAACATGATCGTTTGAGGTAGGTCTTTACCCACGATTTAGGAACAGTTTTTAGGGTTAGGATTTGGATTAGGGAAAGGGTTTAGGATTAAGGTTAGGATTAGAGTAAGAAGGTAAGGGTTAAGTTTAAAATACAAAATTACAAAAGTCTGAAAATAGTAACTCTTTCTAAAACGTGACAGGTATAACTTGCCCCTCAAAACTGTTACGGACCACTTTCACTTACTTTAAATCTTAGTTTAATCTAATATGTATAAAACTAAATTTTACTGAGGTTAATTAAATTCAGAAATAGAAGATGTTTGCTTGAGCTCAAGTGAACTGTTCACCCAAGCAAATATAATTTTAAGTGATAGTGAGAAGAGATAACGGTTTTTGCCACAAATCAAAGTAAAGCGTCGTAAAACATTCATTATTTCTTCGTTTGGACTATGACAGTTTGTTAGATCAGCTACCGTTGCGTAAGTGTCAAGGTTTAATGGATGTGTTTCCTACAGTTTACATTGTGCCATTGTGGGCATATTTGAACATTCTAGCACGCCGTAGTTGTTCAAATTGCTACGTTATTTGCACACTTTTCACGGCTAACTAACCAAGCCAACAGTCAAAACTTTCAAAGTCGATGTGGTGTTTTATGTGAACTCGTTGACTAATGCTACTCAAAGGTTGTTTATGGGTACTTTTAAAGAGGCAAATACTGTAAGTGCTGTGATTATACAAAAATATATAGGTAACTTGTTATCTGCTCATGGATCTTGCAGATGGGAATCTTTGAGTGGAAATCTATATACATTTATTAGACCTGGTAACCAGGAACAGCTGCGAAAAATGCAACCACAGGTCCCAGGCAGGAATCAAACCTGCGGTCCTGTGATTCCGGTGCAGCGCTCTAACCAACTGAGCTACAGAGGCCAGTTGTCGAGTTATAACTACATGTTAAATATATGGTACTGCCATGTTCTAGGTTATGGGCAAATATCGAGATTTTGTTGGCATCTCACTCGAATCATTAACAGCTGCTGGGTCTTGCAGATGGAAATCATCGAGTGGAAATTTATATACATTTACTAGACTTTTGTGGAAATTTATATACATTTATTAGACGTTTGTGGAAATTTATATACATTTATTAGACTTTTGTGGAAATTTATATACATTTATTAGACTTTTGTGGAAATTTATATACATTTATTAGACTTTTGTGGAAATTTATATACATTTATTAGACTTTTGTGGAAATTTATATACATTTATTAGACTTTTGTGGAAATTTATATACATTTATTAGACTTTTGTGGAAATTTATATACATTTATTAGAATCTTGTTATCTGCCTTTTTAAGCAGGAAAGGTTAAGATATATCATTCTCAATAAATATTATACCTGAACAGGCTCCTGTGTGTCAGCAAGTTGCAAGACTGTTCTTATAAAACCTGCTTCAGCTGCTCTTCGACGGCTGTCTGGACCTTCAATCTAGGCATATACACATACACGTAGTATTAATAATGTATTGTAGGTATAAGTTATATTGCAGGCGTTCTGGCATCCTAATGTGAAAAAAAAGTAGGAAAATCAAGCAATTTTTAAAGGCCCATTTCCACTCGCGAAAATTTTCTGCAGAAAGAAAATGTTGTAAAATATGACTGGCCAACACAACTTTTCCATCGGATAAAAATTTTGATGTTCAAAGTTTTCAACTACTTTTCAACTTTTCAAAATAGGAAAGTAGAATAAAAGTAAGGGAAAGTAGGATGGTATGCAATAAGGTCTGGTGTTGCAGTTAGTTAAGTAGGTGCATGAGGTATATATATAACTTACACTGGCAAGATTTTTAAGCAAGACTGCAACGGCTTCAGCAACCCATGGTTTTGCAGTGGGAGACCTCGCAAACACTGATAGTAATGACGAAGCCTTGGGTAGGCAGAGATAAGACAGTAGTAACGGTTGACATTCTGGATTGAATGATAGTTTCACCAAGGAATTGAGAGCTATCAACACTGGGTCATCTTCTTTACAGCAACAGTAAGGCGAGATGGAGCTGTAACCACTGTCTGCGTTTGAACGTGTTCTTTCTCGAAACTATAAAGTGAAGATGCATGTAACGTAATTAGAAGATTGGTAAAAAATAAGAAGGTGTATGGCAATAATAATTTAGTCTCATTTGAAAGAACTCTAGTTTTAAAATAAATATGAAAAACGTTTTTACAGCTTCTTCAAATGTTGCTTAGTTCTAGAAATATTTTGACCATGATCATCGTAAATCAGTGAGTTGACCGCCATCTTGGATATGCACGTTACGCCACAAGCATGGTCACGCAAATATTTTACCCAGATATGCAATGGTCATTATGAGCTCAAAATTATACTTCGGTCAGTAACTATTTGTCTGACAACGTCTTAAGAATCTACTAATATTGTTGTTTAAACCTGAAAAGTCCTATACGGGGCGGATGAATAAATCTACTACCACTATAAGCGGCAGGAGAAAATGGTATGAAAACTCATGTTTCGCTCGCTACTCAGGTTTAAATATAAAATACCCAACGTTTCGACACTCCAGTCTCGTGTCTTCATTAAGGGTGATCTAAAGTTGCAATCGCGGCTTCTTAAATACCCGAGGGATGACGTCACCTGCCAATGAGATGCATGTATTCCTCTGGCAAATAGGCACCGTCATCCCTGTTATTCAAAGCATGATTACTCATATTTATATGCCACGCTTCTAGGCATAGTCTTTGACCATAGCGATTGTTTGTGGTAATTACTTTAGAGTTTTCCCACGCAATCTCGTATTTGGTAATGGTAATATTTGGTGTCACACACATGTTCTGCTAAAGCTGATTTTCCCTTGTCTAAAGTTGAAACAGCCTTTTGATGTTCTTTTAGCCGTGAAAACTGTTTACAACTTTGATGGATTTTGAACGTTACTTTCTACCATCCTGGCTTTACTTTTCTCATAGGCAAAATGACTGAAGTTCTTACTCCAGATATATATTGAGCCCAGGGACCAGCTGTTCAAAGCTGGACTAACTTAACGCTAGGTTAACCTAAAATTCAAAACAAACTTTCCAACAGCTTGTTTTTATAAATTTGGAAATATTTATTTAGATATCTTGTCTGGAGAAGTAGGAGTTTTCTTCTATGAGGTTTTGAAATAAACAGACGTGCAGAAATACATAAACTAAAACAGCAGGTTAATTCTAACCGACGGTAAACGCTGATCCAACTCTTGTCGGTATCACTTTTCCTGACGTCATGAATTTTGTCACTAAGATTATTAAAATTGGTATAATAGAATCAACGTTATGCCTGTCTAGTTCACCCAATAAACCAATGAAATCGTGCATTAGTTATGTTACGTATCTATACAGTAGGTTGATGATCCTTTGCTTTAAACAGCCATAATCGTAGTGTCAAAATTCATCTCTTAGATTTCATTTTCGATGCTCTCTAATAGCATCGAAAAAATCTTATCTGGAACACAGATAAGAAATGATAGGGTTAAAATTTTAGGGTTAGGGTCATAGTAGTTGTAGTCATGCAGGTTTATAATTATTTCTGTGTAAAAATCTTGTCTAGAACACAGATAGCTATTTCATTTTGTCGGAACACCCAGTATACGGTCGAGAAGTATTTATACGAAACTAACCCTGTCCGTCATATCTTTTCCATCGTGAATCAACGGCGAGCCTTCTGAGCAGCTAAGGCCTGAATCTGTTTCTCTCACTGGTGATGTCACGTCCTGAAAACGAACCGAGTCACCACGCGTTTTTCCCTTTATCGTTTCAGGATTGTGCAGGATGCTCTGTGCCAAAGAAAAATAGAAAAATAGAGTAAGGCCTTTTATTTACAACTTTGCTACAGACTGGAATTCAACTAAACTAACATCACTTATATTTACACTGGATAGTTCTATCAGTTCTAAACTTTTCTCCCTAGAGGCCCAGTAAGGGCCATCTCTTATTGATCCAGTGTTATACTACAGGCGAAAACAAACTAAATCAACTTAAATTGATTAAACTGCATGCATGGATAGCCCTCTATCAGTTCTAAACTGTTCTTCCAAAAAGTCTAGTAAGAGAAATCGCTTATTGGTGTTGCTACAGGAGGAAGCCAAAATATATTCACAACCCTACTTCAGATCAGTTATCTCTATCAGTTCTAAATTGTTTATACTGGAAGTTCGATATGAGCAATCGCTTATTCGCGGGAGTGGGTAACTGTCGAAACACTGCCCCTACCAAAAGTGAATTTGATAAGGAAATTAGCACCCCCCCCTTTTGCTTAGGCTAGAAGGGGTGGGCACGCCTTGTTCCCCTCCAGAATATCCATGTCTGGACCATGTTTAAATCTACGTCTGATTCAATATCAAACTACATAAAATTACCTGATGTGCACAAACGGGATACTTGGCATGTATGTGTAGCCCAGAGTCTGTAGAATTCCCTAGGTCTGTGAACGATTCTATACCATCACCACCAAACGATGGCTTCACACTCTCAGCAAGTAAAGCATCTGCAGGAGTCGAACTCATCAAAGCTTCAGAAGCATTCGCTTCTGCCCATGTATCGATAGGACCGACAACCATCGTTCCTCTGTGATGCGCTGCTAGTATATTCTCATAAAGCCCGTGTGTCTCGCATACGCTTAAAGGTATTTTTGCAGGACTACTTGTTATTGGAGAAATTACGGCTCCTGTTCTAGACTCGTGTATTCCACAGCTTGTGTCGTGCGTAGGTATTGTATTGAAAATGTCTTTGTTCTCCTCGTCATTGTTGGCATTACATGAAGTAGCAGTATCATGCGTTAGAACTTCATAATCGTGATGAACATGTTTGCAATTTATGTCAGGCTTGCGGCTAGCTGGGTCTAAAGTACAGAAATTAAAAAAGAGTATTGTGGGTGATAATATCCGAAATGTTGGGAGTTCATCGTTGGTCAGGATTGGATTTTGGACAGGCAGGTCGGATTTTGAGGGGAGGTGTGAGAAGAAATGGAATGGGGTGTATAATCATGACATAATTCATGAACACATTGATACATCATGCTGTATAGTTGAAGTCCGGAGGCTTTATTCTGAGCCCTAACATCCCAGGGAGTTGTGAGCAAAGCACCTAGCCAAAATCCGACCTTGGTATGGAAAAGATATCTCAAAGTGGTAATCCAGTGTAGATAATATTCTATAAAAAGCTGCCGTGGTTTGTGTCTGAACTACCTGAAAAATATATCTCAAACGTGGTAACCTAATGTAGGTATACATGTAGTATTCTACAATAAGTTGTTGTGGTTTGTGTCTGAACAGCCTGAAAAAGATATCTCAAACATGGTAGTCCAATGTAAGTAGTATTCACAAAAAGCTGCCGTGTTTTGTTTTGTCTGAACCACCTGAAAAGGATATCTCAAACGATGTCACTCAGATTTTCACAGGGTGGAGGGGGTTGGGGCCGGGAGGGGCAATAAAAATATTACACACCTGAAACATTCTCGTTCATCCACTTCGCATCCTTCTTCCATTGAAAACTTCTCACGTCAAAATTGGCAGTTAACCGTCTGCTAGCATTTCGTGCATGTCTCATCTGTGGAGACTGATTGTACACATTTCTTAAGCTGCCTACGTGAGCGACGAGGGAGCCTCCAGAGAACACGGAGTACCCCGATTGAATCGATTGAGTGGACGTGATGGAATTTGAATGAGACTTCGATGTGTCTGCAGCCATGAAGGCTTCGCATACTGACTGGACTAAACGACTTTGAAGCTCCTTCAGGTCCTAGGAAAACAATTAGAGAGTAACAATTACTTCTATCTCTAGTGTGGCCCTGTCCACACCAATCCGTTTTCGTTTCGAAATAGAATACTTTTGTGAAAGCGTTTTCACCAATACTAAAGGTTTTCACAATGTTATAAATAGCAAAATGTGCGCTTGAAGAAAAACAGTATGTCGAAATATTTAGTATAATATTGACGTGGTTTAGGTCACTATCCATCCTGTGTACTAATACTCCGAGTGCAGTATTCTCAACTCACGGATGTTGCAAAGCAAAGCAACATCTGTGAGTCTTTGTTACTTGAGTGTGGGGCAGTTAAACAATGAGAAATGATCATCCTGCTTTGCGTGCAGCACTGTTTGCCTGCGAATCGGGCCTTTCAGAACCGGAAATCGGGCTGGAGCACGCGTTCGTTCTTTTGATGTGGCAAAAGAAGCGCGACAAATGGCAAAATTCGCAGGGTGCTCGTTTGTAAAAACAACTGCAAACTGCTCTAATTCTTTCTGCCACTTTCATTTGATATCATCCGTGAGTCGGCCACAACGGCCTTTGATTATAACCTGCTGTAACCATTCTACAAATCTGCAGTTACTTACAGCAGACTTAGCCAATTTAAATTAGGAATACAGTGAAGTTACTTACTGGTAATAGATCTAAAGGGCGTGTACCATCAATACTGTTATCGCAGATCCTTGCACCATGTTCAACAAGAATACACGACATCTCCGTACCACTTGGGTGGCCAGCACACATGTGGAGTGGAGTACGACTGAAAATTACAATGAATTAATTTAGAAATTAAACTCTACTTATACTGGATAGTTCCATTTAAATGTTCTATGCAAACTGTTCTCCATTAATAAGTGAAGAATTATTGTATCAGACTCTTACAATTCACAATCTTTGGCACGAACATTGGCTCCGTTCGCCAGTAAGATCTGTGCGATTGATTTATTTCTATTGGCAGCAGCTTGATGAAGTGGTGACATGTCATTCGGTCCTTCCCAATTCACCGTAGCACCGCTATAACATCAAAAGAAAGGAGTAGGTATAATAAGCTATGTGGCATTAACAATTGTACATCACGTTATTGCTCGCACCTTTCAGAACCGTTTACAAGACCGCTTTAACATATGAACTGGGAGGATACACCTCTGATCGCGAACAGCTCTCTAATAGGGACACCTCTCTAATACGAATATCTCTCAAATACGGACACACGCCCCTCTAATATAGCCACTCCTTTAATATGAACACCTCTCTAATACAGAGATCTCTCCAATACAGACACTCTCTGATTCGAATACAACTCTAATACAGACACCACTCGAATACAGACACCTCTCTAACATAGACATCTCTCTAATACAGACACGTCTCTAACACGAACGCCTCTCTAATACATGTACAAACAACTCTTTAAATACAGACACCTCTCTAATACAGACATTTCTCTAATACAGATATCTCTCTAATACAAACACCTCTCCAAAACAGACACCTCTCTAATACAGACATCTCTCTAATACAGACATCTCTCTAATACGATCACCTCTCTAACATCTCTCTTCTACAGACACCTCTCTAATACAGACACTCTCTAATACAAACACCTTTCTAATACAGACACCTTTCTAGCAGATAACTCTCTAATACAGACATGTCTCCAATACAAACATGTTTCTAATACAGACACCTCATCATATAGACACTCTCTAATACAGACACGTCTCTAATATGAACACCTCTCTAATACATGTACAAACAACTCTTTAATAAAGACACCTCTCTAATATAAAAACCTTTTAAATACGAACACCTCTCTAATAAAAATACCTCTCTAATACGAATATCTCTTTGATACAAACACCTCTCTAATACGGACACCTCTCTAATACGGACATCTCCCTAATACGGACATCTCTCTAATACAGGCACCTCTCTAATACAGACATCACTCTAATAAGAGCACCTGTCTTCCCCAATACCGACACTTTGCTAGTTCGAGTGTAAGGAGTGTTAAATATTACCGGTCCAGCAGAAGTTGTACGGCTGCAATCTGACCGTAGTTAACAGCGTGAAAAAGTAAACTTCGTCTTGTTGAGTCCGCTAGATCAACATCTACTCCATCGTCAAGATACGATGCTAGACATGTCAAATCTCCTCTGCAAGAATAAAATTTAGCAGTATTAATAACAACATACATGAAAATTCTGATTTGCTCGGATGTATGGTCAAATTTTCGATTGTTTTTACGCACTTAGTCTTTCATTTTCAGCTAAGTTGGAAGCTAAGTTGGATAACGTTTTCAACTAAATGCCCATACGACACGCAAAGTCAGATGTAAGTGTCAGCAGTTTTGTAGGAAGATATTTGACGTTAGGAAGGCTGAAAACTAGTGGTCCGGGGGCATGCCCCACTCCAGAAAAATTAGAAAATAACTGGTTTTGGACAGGATGTAAATCACCATCAAAATAGCATTGTTGAACTACCTGGCGATGGACATGATACGATTTAATCTACTTTTAAAGCTGCTTAGCCCCCGAGAAAAGCGTTACGGGTGCTGAATTCACTATTGAATGAATGTTGGTAATTTTGTTCAGTTTGCCTTTTAGGCAGCGACCAAGAACCTTCATTTTACTGGCTTACTTTGATCCCGCAACTGAGAAGGCTTATTAAGATGCATTTAATAAGAATATTAACTTTGCGTATTATAAAAGTGATTTATAAAATTCTAAGAAATTTAATACATTTAATTGGTACCCGTATCTTTAATACAGTTTCAAGGACGGTTTCTGAAGCGAAAATATTTCGAAATTGCATCTTGCAAAAATCGAATCCCATATGTCATCAACAAACTAAGTATAGACTTAGATCTATTTCTAAATATATATAGCGCAAGTTCAATTCACTGAATGGGTCTTTTGACGACGGGAAATGAAAAACTCGTCATTGCGTGCAGACTTCTTGGTATATAGTTTGTCGTTTGTCAAGTGCGGAAACTCCTCTTACAGTAATATATTGGTGCGTTTCAGCCAGCGTTACGACGGCACGGAAAAGTGTAAATCTTTCTAAATCTTTCTAAAGTACGAATTACCTCAACAACTGATACAGAAAAGTAAATAATGCTGTCCGTTATACATTTAGTTATTTCATAAGTAACATTTAAATGACTTTATACATTTACTGACGTGTACACGCTCTTACGAAAAACACTTAACTAGAAAGTGGGTGCTCACATCGCTAAATTCCAATTCTAAATTGAACTATATCGCTCAATTCTATATATTTGCCACGCACTTGATGACTGTACGTGCGTGTACTGTTATATTCCCACTCTGGTAACTGTTGCATGACCACTGCGTGACGAAACCGACCATTTGCATGAATGTTTAAATTTTGATGGCTTTTAATTAATAGACTCAATAGTGATACTTATGAGTTATGGCTTGAGACAAAGAGTGTTTGTTCTTTGCATTCGTGTCGGTGCAGCAGGTCAATTTCTATTATGTACTTCCGAAATTACTCAATTGCTAAGTGGTCGTCTTGTTTGATTACAATATACAAGTATGACACAAAAGGTACTTGACATTCATACTGGACGTTAGTCGACTTTGTACCAACAGGATATATTCTTGTTGACCTTTATAGTTGTTTAGAAATATAGCCTAGCTTTATACGCTAAATTGATCTATCATCCCGGATCAAACGAAGATGAGAGTCCATGAGAGTTGGCAGTCACTCGACCTTGGTTATCTGTTCTTAATGAAGCCTGTAGTGGACTGGAACACAGGCTATTCTTAATGCTTTCCCAACACTATCATGTATTTTAGTTAATACCTAGCTGGACTACCAACTCTCGGGGATTTAAACTATGTTGATAGCCCCATAATGCTTCAGTGTTTCTACAAGAGGAAACCTCGATTGAACTTTATCAAGTTTATTTCTCTAATGATTGTGACTTATGGGAGTTGACTTCATGCTGTGTTATTCTGAGTTTCTCCATATACTGAATAGCTCTATCAGCTCCAAACTGTTCTCCCTAGTGGTCGAATACTACGGGAGGAAAGCAGAGCATCCCGAGTACACATGTTGTGTTTGGTGAAGTTGAACTGTAAACATGCGAAATGGAATATCGCAGGAATAAAAACTTCCTGTCGCTAAGGTAATAGGCACAAAACAATTGTACTCTATATGCTGTACAATACACAGCTGAGTACAATGCATTCAACGATTGTATCATAAAGCCCATTTTCGACTTAGCAAATTTGTTTGCGCGAAGTGACGTTTTCGTTCGTCGGTATCGTTTTTGCAAACGTGAACATCGATGCCGAGAAATGAAAAAAAACTTCGCGCGAATAAATTCACCACTTCAAATGTTATACATTTGACAACATTGCGTAATACAACGGTCAATGACAAGCGTAACGGTTTGATAATATTAGGCAATATAGTTGCGCAAGCTATTCGATTGCCAACATGTTCTCCCGTACAATATTTCTCTTTGATCGTGGGCCTGATCATAACACTATCCATATTAAACTCTTTAAGCACCGTTTACACTTGCAAATTTTGCTGCGATTTCTGCGATTTTCTTCCTTTGATGCATGTGCAAGAGTAGACGAGTTATGAATGTTCTTTATACGTACCCACATCCAAACATTCATAGCTAATCCACATCCTTCACAAGAGGAAAAACGCACCTAAAATCGCAGTAAAAATTGCAAGTGTACACGGGCCTTCACTGTACGCGAAACATAACGATACAACCAGCATGGGCTAGACGAAGACAATGTTGAGGTGAAAATGTAAATGGCCTTGCAAAAAAACTAGTAGCATTCCTATGAAGTATTTGTTCACTGCTATCATGAGCAAATCGTGGTCACCGATGTAAAATAGTCTGCATCTATCTTGTCTTTTGTATACTGAACCCGGCAAAAACGCCATTGTCTATTGTAGAGATATATTGACACTCTGTTTATACCGGCTACTTTGACATGTTTTCCGCCGTAAAGGCCAAATGGTCAGCTTCAAAGGTATTTTTATACATTTGAGTCAAAAAATCTTGCTCAATGTGATATTCAGGGTGTCCCCCAAAAAATGCAAAAGCACTTTTTCACTAAGCAGTATAATAAGCGGTGCAACAGCAATGTTCCTGTTCCAGCTTTTTACACAGCAGTGGCGATCGAAAGCTCAACCTAAAAGATGAATTTTTACACTATAGGATTTAATATTAATTTTACTAGAAGAACCAATGTTAATATGGTAGTCCGAAGTAAGGGATCATCAACCTATTATAATACTTTACACAACTGATGCATAATTTCAATGGTCCATTGCATACTGTAGATGAACCAGACTTTATTTAAAAAACAGCAATAGTCTACTAGACCAATTTCGATAATCTTAGTGTTAAATTGTATCTCTTAGAACAAATTTTCGATGCCCACTAATAATTAGCTGTGCGAGAATCTGGAACACATAGAGTTTTGGTAATATACCACCTCAAAGTTATCAAGACAAAGAGAACACTCGATTTGAAAAAACAATGTAATGCAATGCCAAAATACAAGCACCATCTAAAGCCATCATGCCGAATACAAATATAGCCTATGTTTCTAATTTTAAATTTCGCGCCTAAAATTTGAAGTGGCGCGCTCTTTGAACCGGATCTAAACCATTGAGTTTCTATAAACAAGGAAGTATGGCTCATTTGAGGCGATATGGCGCGAAATCATGTAACAGCCAATGAAGCTGAACAAGTATACAATGGCTGAGTGGTAAAGGCATGCGTACAGAGAGTCGAGGGTAGAGGAGCGAATATAAAATGTCGAGTATCGAGGGTATAATGTCCAAGAGACGGTTGCGGGTACCACACGTGAGAAAGGTTTACCACATGTGAGGTTTAATGTGGAACACTCTACTCAACACTAATATCAAACAAATAAATGATATACTTGACAAGGCAGGTTGAGGTTGACAGGATGCTGATGTTGTGCTGGTAGTTACTGCATGCAGAACAACATTTCCTAAGTGGCGGCTGGCAGTAAGCTTTCTTGCTTAAGTGTTTCTATAGCAATCGTATAACAACAGAAATATCTGCTAGCAGTCACCAGCCTACATGTACAATTTGTCTGTATGTGAGTACAGTATACAATGCAATCAATCATTTGATCAATGCTAAATACTAGTCAGTAGAAAATAGGAGTAAGAAGCCGATTGATATATAATCCATATATTTTGCAATTTGAACAAGCCATATTTCACATTATTTTGAGGGAGGTGTGAAAACTTGAATCTTTACCCGGAGGAATGTTCAACACTTTTTTCAACTCCCAGTCAGAAAACGACGATCAGAGTTCCTCGTTTTGACCAGGATTTAACGATCAGGAGTAGTTTAATTAAGGAAAGAAAAGTGGAATATCGACAGTTGTAGACAGAATATCGAAGGATATAATTTGGAGATAAAATTTGAGGGTTGAACCCTAGTAAAATGCCGAGGGTCAAATAAATGCCAAGCCTCGAAGATGAAATGTCGAGGGTTCGCCTCGCGATGCTCGAGGTCAAAATTTAACTCGAGGGTCGAGACTCGAGGATACGATATCGAGAACCGAGGATAATGGTCGAGGTTCTTAGATTCACAAGGGAAATTATGGGATAATGGGAGAGGGCAGAACCGAGTTAATAAAACAGCTCATTTTAGAATTTAATATTAACTCCTATTGAGCTATTGAGACAACGGGTATTGGAAGCGAATAGAAATATTTTCGAAAGCAACAGACTTGTCTTACAGGATTTGAAGCAGAGAAAACGCGAGTTTGCGTGAGAATTTTCTCAACGTTCGTTCTGTAGTCAAACAAGAACAAAGGTTGCATGAGATTTGACTGATGAGAATTGACTGGATATTACCGCGCTTGGCGAAACCTTTCACAAAAATTTGACAAATAATATTTCATAAAATCAGAAGCACATCAAGGTAGAAACTTTAGCGACTTGGATGCTTAGCAACAACAGCCATAACGCTTTAGGATATAATTTCGAAATTATATTGAACTTCATTATGCGTGGGTTAGACAACTGGCGCTATATCAACGTTAAATCTCTTGAGTATTGATTTACCTGTGATTGCAACATTGCCCGCAAGATCCCAAATACATCCAGAAAATATATTTTCATATGCGTGCCTGGGAAAAAATACTCAATGACTTGCGGTAAAACGAATGTTTGTTGTTGTTAAGGAGTGCGACTATTTCTGATATGGAACAATTAGTTCTAAATTCAACTCCCGTCTAGAATTTCCCCGCCAAATACGAACCTCTATCGATAGTGTTTGTGCTAAGGCCCATTCATACTTTTTGCTGCGATTTGTACGGTATTGCGATTTTATTCTTCTGACAGATGTGAACGAGTGGACGAGTTATGAATGTCTAGATCAGGTTACACATACTCGGAACATTCATGTAGTCGTTCACATCAGTCGTGTTAGCCATGCAGATGATTAAAAAATTCGACAATTTAATGAAATTGGGAATTTCAGTTAGCTTGCGACATTCAGACCGGAGTTAAGAAATATCGTGTGACATTCTCGTGGCCTAGCGCAAGCTGCGCCAAATTGAAATTTTTGAAGTGCAAGTCACCTGACATTGTTTTGCATACCAAAACCAGACAAATATCTATTTTAGGCTATACATGACATCCTCGCAACACTTATCTGTTTCCCAATTTTTCTTGAGCAAAGTTTTGAAGTTTAACAATCTTTTATATATACATGTAAATAGTAAAATTGTGAAATTGCTGGCGTAAAATGGCTTTGAGTAAAGTATTACTCTTCTAAAAAAAAAATGAGCATACAAATTTGCTCATAAATTTGATAAATTTACTGCTTGCAATACGTAAATTTTTTGCAGTGTTCTTAGTTTACATACAAAAGTACGAAAAATGATGAAGATCTTACCTTTGAATAGCAGATAAAACCATCTCTATCCTTTCATCAACAACATCGTCTTTCTCGCACATACTGAAGGAAAAAGTGTGAAATTATTTCAAACAACATGTCGCACAAAAGGAAAGAAAAGAACTGGGAAATCAGATGCCATGGTTTTACATTGAATAACTATCTTATTGTTTGACACAGAAAGTTCATTCAGGTATAAGTTCCTGTAAAGTTATAGATGATGCTGTATGCGTTGCAACCTATACTGTATTTGTTGCGAGTTATGAATGAGTTACGACCTGTTGCAAGTTATGTGTTGTGAGTTATACTGGTTGTAAGTTACACAGTTACGAGTTTAGTTATCATCCATGAACTGTTACACTCTAAAAACACTCTAATTAAAATTTTCCTATTTCTTGTATTTCCCAATAATAAATATAAATTGATTTATTATAAGCCCTGCAACATATAGATTCCGAATGACAATATTTGCCGTACCAAGTACTATGATCTTCATGGTGTAATATACTGGCTTGTTCTTCTCGCGATAATTCCAAACAACGTTCTTGAAGAGTACTGGTATCAGGCCGTTCAATTTTTCCTACTTTTTGATTCACATCACGATGAATATCTACTTCGACTTGAAAGTCCCCTACAAGACAAACAAGTTCCAGATTATCTATTTATTATATTTTATAAACGTTTGCATGGCTGCAGACGGGGAAAGAGATCTCGGAATCCCAAGGAACATTTGCCTTATAGCGAGAAGGCTGAGAATTACATTTTCAATTTTTCACGTATACGTTATGGGACAGTTTGTATCTTTTGTACGACATGATCGGTCCCGTTCTCAAAATCCATCCCTTGTTTTAAAACCTTCGTACTGTGGAACATCCACTTTTCATGTTTCGTTTTTCAACCGAGTAGTTAAGCCTTGGAACTATGTTTGTAAAATAGCCTCTCCAGAAAAATTCGCCACCCTAGTTCAGTATTTTTAAACGCTTCCTGCACACAACATACTCCAACTTGGTGAAGAATACTTTTAATGTGAATATGTCATGCAAGTGCAAAGTCACTCACACAAGATTGCCCCTGTCATCGTTCCTAAATTGCACTATGCATAAATTTACTGTAAATTGTCTTTTTCTTTTTGTAATCTGGTCATAATTTATAGGGGTTGTGCCTTGTATGGGTATCGTTTTCCCGTTTACACTATGGCCTCCCATTGGGCGTACATCTCGTAATCTATAATTTTGTGTCCAATAAAGCTGATAAATAAAATATCATGCTTCCTTATCCATAATTTGAGATATGTAACATACTGTAAATACAGAAGTATATTTTGCTGTTGCATACATAATGGTGTAATGTGTGGTCAAATGTTCCATCATAGTCTTTTTAGGAACATTTACAAAGTAAATTCAGGGTCCGAGATGAACATTAAACACTTTTTCGCAGATAGTCCACATACACGCCCTGGAAACTTAAAGTCCCTCCCAACATCTAAAATCCTACCTACGATCCTGGTTCGGTCTCGTCTAAAAATAGTCTAAGATGCAATTGTAATGTACAAACATAAATTACCTTTTCGTTTTACAGCATTGGAGGTTTCAGACGCCTTGTCATCAGCTTTATATCTGGATATATTAATCACATTAGTACTATTTTCGTTACTGCTACTGTTCGAGGGCACAGGCGAAAGTGCGGTGAATTCGACATGTTTGCATGAATAATGGGTGGGTGGTCTTTTTAATGTTGTTTGATTAAATGTATGTCTGTAGGCCATGGACGATCGTAGCTGTTCGCTACCAGTACCTAGAAAATGCAATAAAACAAGTTCAAAATGTTTGCCTCGTCTTCATGCCTATTTTAGAGAGTAGTCTGTCTGACAGAGATGCGTGCCTTGGGGGATATCTACAGCATCTGTCTTAATGAGATGTCTGCATTAATTAGAGGGATGTCTGTCTCAGAGAGATGTCTGTCTTAGAGAGACATCCATAATGGAGGTGTCTGCCTTAGGGAGATGTCTTTATTAGAGAGGTGGCTGTCATGTGGAGATGTCTGTATTCGAGAGATGTCCATATTAGGTGTATGTCTCGGGGAGATGTCTGTATTAAAGAGGTATCTGTATTAGAGAGGTGCCGTCTGTATTAGAGAGATGTCTATAATAGAGGTGTCTGTCTTGGGAAGATGTCTGTATTAGAGAAATGTCTATCTTATAGAGGTGTCTGTCTCACAGAGATTCTGTCGGGACATAGGAAACTCTCTGTAAATGTTCCTAAGAAGCGATTTCACTGTTTTGAAGATCTTCGAATTAATGTCCATATTTGGAGACGGTCGTTTTGGAGAGATGTTTGTATTAGAGAGTTGCCCATATTGTCGAAAACTATTCGTATTCGAGAGCTGTCCATTTTAGAGAGGCTTCCATCTCTCTCTAATATAAAGCAAATAATTTCGACTGTTTCTGTCCAATACTGAGGACTCAGGTCAACAATTGTTGCCTCACCTTTACTTGTAGTGCTGGACACCCTAGACCATGTTTCAAATTTCTGCCACGGATCGGTAACAGAGTCATTGTAGTACCCTGTTTGACTTGACCAGTCAGATTCCACAGAATTCTGATGATACAAGGGCGTCTTCTTTCTACGTCTCATGAGTCGCATCTTCTCCTTCTTCTCCCGTAACATCTTTCCCAGGGACTTGAATGAAAGAGCCACGGAGCGTACAACACTTGACGCCTGGAAATATAATATCGTGAAAAATATGCACGAGTGAGTTTTTCAAAGACGAAAACTCAGGAGTGTATGTTTTTCCAAATTCCACGAGAAACCGTACTATTACTTATTAATGATATACTTGAAAAAATCATGCAGTCATGTCCATGCGTAGGTCACATGCGAAATAGATAATTCTAATATAAACGATTTTATTACAAAATTTTGTCACTTGTAATGTTTGGGTTTTTGTTTTTAATATTCTCACTTTTTGCATTGTATTTCATTTTTTTACACTGTATTTCACTGCTCCTAGCCAATCAGAATTGAGAAATATTTTCATGTATATTATTATTATTCATATAACACCTCATCAAATTCTGGTCATGTAATTGGTGATTATGATCAAGTGATATGGAATAAAAATTACCATTTTGCTAAGCGTGCAAAGATTGCACGCCCAATCGTGCATTTTTGTATTTTACGTTTTCGTCCATTGCACGGTTTGGTTTCAGTAAATTCCACCCGTCAAAAACTTAATCGTATCCTACTCGTAGTTTATGTAACCCAAATCTTCGTAATGAGGCCGATTGAATTAAGTTCTAATGCATAATTTGTGCGAAACAAATATAGTCTGAAAAAGGTTTGAGTGAAGAGTTAATGTTATAATGGCATCTATTTAAATCAACATATATTGTTGTAAAAATATTTTTGGTGATTTTTACACCCGCTTAGACGCGGGTGTAAAAATCACCAAAAATATTATTTTTACAACAATATATGTTGATTTAAATAGATGCCATTATAACATTAACTCTTCACTCAAACCTTTTTTGGGCTATAATTGTTGGATTTCTATATAGAGAACATAAAAAAAAACAGCTGTTTAATATGTTGGCAAATTAAAAGAATGAAATAGTCGAGTCATTTTAAGACTTCGGAATTGTTTGGCATGGAATATCTGATCGCATGCATGCAGATGGAAAAACTGATCTCAATTGGCAACCTGGCTTAATTTCAACCCCTGCTTTGTTATTACATGTGCGATAATCGTTTGATGAAGGCTAGTGCAATAGTTTCGCAGCGAATGGATTTGCGCTTTTGCTGCATGTTTAAATAACACAAATGGCAAAAATACCAAAATATATACTGGGTATGATCATGACGATATACTGGTATTCGGTACTTGCAATATCGAGTCTCTCTACTCATAGGCGAATTTTGTAAGGGAGGGTAGAGTGTTGAAGGTCCACCCCTTCAGAAATGGTCTGCATCAGCAGGTGTATACTGGAGGGGGGGGTTGGGGGAGGGGGCGATTGGCAGGTCAAGAAAATATATTTCTCTTCCTGGCAACAAAATCCAAAAAAAGAAATTTCCTGTGTAAGTCAAATATAAAACTTCCTGCATATGTAGATTTCAGAGAACCTATGGCGCCACACATTATGATAAACAATTGTGGTGGACAATCTCGACTTGCAAAACGCTTTTGTAAACATTAAGTAAATTATATGGCGTTCCAGTATATAAGATGACAACAATTTCCTGAAAGATATATATGAAAATTTCCTGCAGACAATTATCCCTTGACAAGTCTTGCTCATTACACAGAATGTTGTTAAACATTTATCTCACGGCAAGGTCGTGTTTTGTTTGCCAAAACCATAGAAGTATTTCTTGTACACTTGTCAAGTTTTCCTTGGCGGCCGTACAAATGAACAAACTTTCCTTGTCCAAAAACTGGCCTGACTAGTTTTGGAACAAAGCTCCTTGGATACAGGAGATATCGTCAATCTTTTGCCAGAAAAAATTGTTACGTATAAAGAACCATTTATGATCAGACAATTGAATATTCCTGGAAATGAACCCTCGTGGGTTTTATGATTGATTTAATGATTTAATGAATTGGTTAATGTCGTTGCCCAATCTTCCTATATAGCCAAAGGGCTCATGTTGAAAGCACTCCATTTTACTAAAATTAATTATGTTGTTGAAGAACGGTAAGTGGTACTTGGGGCGTGCTGCAGGTCTTTGCACGCAAGCTTTGAAATGCTGTTGGAAATTTTAAGAATGTTGAGTTGATTTTTCCCTCTGGCAAAGAGGTGACATTCTCACTGGTTAAATTCCACTCGCCTTCTCATCTCTGTCAGAAAAAGATTCGGGTGCCTTTCTTTCCACGTTCAAAGGGTTTTAGGGCTCATGTCAAATCTCTTCGGGGCGTTGAAAATAAGCACGAGTATTATCAGAAGGAATACTTTATAGCTAAAATAATTGGATTCGTTTTGGAAAAAATCCAGAAGTTCATTATATTTTAGCAGTCACCCTTATATAGTTTCCCAGGACTGGAATTTTGTTTTTGTTTTTTGGATTTGAGTATCTTAAGGATTCTGGTATGTTGCTATCAAAGCTCAGTAACAAGGGGAATCACGCACGCAACAATTGGGGTCTTATCTGGCGGTTGTCTCCTCCCCCCCCCCCCAACTCCCCGATGGCGAGAGCAAGGTGGAACTCAGGGTATCCATGCATGGGCAAAAGCCTCGAAAGTTTCACAATTCAGTATTTACAGTTTACGTGGCTTTAGAACAGCTCAAAATTGCTTTAAATTTGTGTTGTAAAACGAATTGCAGGTGGTATGTTCGTTCTTTCTTACTTTCTTGGGTTTCTGACGGGAAATATGATTTCCACGTCACAATTTTAATTCATGTTTAGCTTCATTCTTACTGCACTGAAACTTTTGATGAGAAGAATGGATTTCAAAACTCAATTCATGATTGAGTTTTGGGGCCGTGTAACGGCCGTAAAAAAACATGAAAAAACCCATGGCAGCAATGCACCTTTTAAGTGCATACGGTATGTTTTGATATAAATTTTACTTCAGTTGACTTTTGGCAGTTTTATACTTGTCAAGAGGAGATAGTTGCATATCAATGCAATTTGGGTTAATTCAAGTGAAATCTCTTGTACTTTGTGTACAGTGTATACTTTGTCACCTAGGAAACTGTATGAGCACAAGATAGTCCAATACGTCTCAATCTGAAAGCAATCTGGGTAACGTCTGGGTTGAAGATGGGAACATAGTTGCAAAAGTGATGACGTGTGCCGCACTTGATACAGTATTTTTAACCTCAGGGATTCAGATTCGTATAGTGATAGAATGACAGATCGCCAAATAGGAGTACACAACCTTTTAAGCCATGTAAAAAAAAATAACATCCCAGTTTATCACCAGTCGCAGTAAAAAAACGTGTGGCGGTGGGCGGATTTTTTTGCCAGATCACATTTGGTATATGCATGAAAGTATATGTTCAAATCACGCAGCACAATCGTATGGAATAATATTTTCGAATGATGTTACACTTTCCATCTGAATTGTCAAGAATTTCCGTCATGTTCTCACGAATAGCACTTGAATCTAATAGTTTCTACATGCTTGTAGAAAATGTAAACAGTATACACGGCAAAAGTGGTTGACAAAATTTATTATCATATGGCTTTTCAAAATTCTCTATTCTGATTGGTTGACAAGCGGTCCGTAAAAACCCATATCCGGACCGTGGTCCGTATTTTCCGTATCTGAACCGGTGTCCCGGATGTCAGGCGGGACATTTTTGCTTTGCAAACAGAAAAAATTTTTGCTTTTTAATTTTCCATTTGTGTGTCATTAAAATTTACAGATAAAAATTTCAAACAACCAAATTGTTTTTTTATTGAGCATGCATGCCTACCGTATATTGTTACCCAGTGAAACTGACGATAGCCGATTTAATTCGCGCGAAAAGCATATGCTCACAGACTCAGTTCAGCCATAAAATAAACCGATTATATTGACCTCGCTTGTTCGGTCTGTACTGTGAAATATCAGATCTCTGTTTTTTGCATGCACCTCGGTCCTTCGTCGCTCGGTCCATACTAAAAAACCTCGGTCTGATATTTCACAGTACAGACCTCACGCTCGGTCAATTAACCCTTTATAATTTACTAGTTGGGTAAACTGCACCATTCAATGTCAACAAAAGGTGACTCGTGGCACACAACAATTTTATTTAATTTTTTTTAATCCATTGGGTACGAAAAACGGATACAGGAGCTGTGACATAGTCATAGAATTTTATAACAGCCTTGCCTTGCCGATGGACATTGGACAAACTCAGGCAAAAAACTGAACCTCGAAACCGAGAAACTTTGAAATTTAAAAAATTTAATATCGCCAAATTTAATATCAGATCTTCCTATATATCAATGTGATATGAAGTATTCTCTGTGTATATAAATAACATTAAAAAAACCCAGTTGTTTAATATGATGGCAAAGAAGCAGAATGGAATACTTGAGACACTGAGATATTTTAGGGCTAGGATTATTTCATCATTTTAATATTGTTTTTGGTAAATATCTGGTCAGCAGATGCAAAGTTGGTCACCATTGGTAATTTCAACCCCAGTGGCACCAAGATGGCCACCATCTTACTGTCTTCAAATTCCCAAGAGATTGGTTGCAATCTACCTATTGTGACCAATAAACTAAATGCAAACCCAAACGCATGCATACGTGGCTGGGAATTGCCAAAACCAAAATGAGCAATGGTTGCGCGTATGTTACCTAGATGTAATCATAGCCAAAGTTTAGGTATACCCATGTAATATTATGACAATACTATGTACACTATGACAATATTTAATTGAAATAGCTGCATTATTGTTGATAGCTTGTTGGTGTAGTTTGTCATGAAATGATTGAAAGATTATGACATTCTTTTGTTGAAATATCGCCAACATGGCACTGATGGCAATGGCGACATAACGTGCAACCTAAACTGTACATACAGGAATTTACAAAGACACAAGGTTGTAAGCAGGGGTGTATAGGGAGGTGGGGTGTGAATGGATGCTGCACATGCACACCCTCACCCCCCTCACCCCCAATTATGGGAAGGGGAAGAACTTCGCAAAATTTTCAAAAAATTTTGCCAAACTATTACACTAGTAGAGACACATTATCTTAACTGTCTCTCCCAGAAGGGGATACCTTGTGGGGGGGCATTTTTCAACCCCACTAGTTTTTGCTAAGATTGTCAGTAAATCGGATGACAGAACAATGATTGGCAAAATAAGGGAGAGGTCATCAGTAAAATATGCTACTTTTTCAGTTGTTTTTACAAATAGTACTTCACAGTATGGGATATTTTAATCAAATTTAATCACATTGTACCTGTTAGAGGATTACTAAAAAATCAACTTTACAATCTCCAACTTAGTTAGAGAACTCAAAGGGATGGGATAAGTGATCAAAGTGGTCTCTTTGTCATTAAAAATGAGGTGTTAACACCCCCCCCCCCCACCCCACTTGAAATGACCAAAGAATATGTCACTGCTCAGTACTGCTTGATTTGCTATATCAAGCAGTACTTGAATTACTTGTAAATATATAGTATACAAATAATGAATGTTTATTCGTGCAATGGTAAGAATATTTTCATGAGGTGAATGGCCAGCCCAGTTGAATGGAACATTCCATCTTTCACCGAATGAAAATATTCTTACCATTGCACGAATAAACATTCATTATTTGTTTTATATAATACCAAAATAGACTAATAGATTCGTATGAAAAGCATTTTGACGGATGCAATTTATCAAAAACACAAAGAATGCAATGGAATAAAATGTATAGTGCAATTGCACTCGCAAAGAGTGCAATGGAACGTGTTCCATTGCACTCTTGGGAAATGGAATTTTCTATTCAATATCATGTGACCATAAACAGCCAATTAAATGACCAGAATTCAATATGGTATTATATAAAAGCAAATAATATAAATGCTTGTCACTTGCTAATCCCAGGAGACAATTTATAATGCATTGCACAATTAAAAAAAAAAAAAAAAAAAAAAAACATCTCAACTTATTCCCTGAATCACATATGCACTTAAATGGATTGTACATTTGACAACTGCTTGTGACAACCTTAATTGAAATAGATAGCTGAGAGGGTTTATATACAGTAATTTCACATTCTGGTCCACCACCCAGCAGGCAAAATGACGTTGATTCAACTTTGTTGAATCAACGTCAGACATGACCTCCCAGATGTTGGATAGATATTGAAAAACTTGATTGAAAAATATGACCCACATTCAATATGCCCACCCCCTGTAGTTCGACCATCTTCAACAAGATATGTGTGTGCAGTGTAAATATGGCATGCAATGAACTATGAGGAAACTATCAGGCTACTTTCGTCAGGAGTATTGTTTGTGTTAACGTTAACACCAAAATGGATAATCTGTTGGACATACAGGGCTGCAAATAAATATTTGACTTGACAGGACATAATTTGTCTCATCACTTTTAATTTTGGTCGGACATAACTTGAATTTGGTTGGACAAAAACCAACATCACTAAATTTGGTCGGACATATATATGTCACAAGATATATATTATATATAAGTCACTATAGACAAGTATGTATGCCATTTCGATGCAACGTTAAGTAAAATTAAATGCTAGATCGCCTCGTAAATTTTATTGCAAAATGCAAATTGAGTGAATTTGTCACAGCAAAAAATGTATAATGACAATTGATCGGACCAATGTCCGATCAAAATCACTTTTGCTTGGACATTTGCCAAATTTAAGCCCGTTCTCCACTACGCGAATTTGTTCGCGCGACGCGAAGCGAAAACCGAAATCCGGCAACGTGATTGGTCGGCGAAAAAATTCGCGGCGAAAAAGTAGGATCGCTTCCTACTTTTTATCTGTTCGCGCGAATAAATTCGCCTAGTGGAGAACGGGCTTTAGTCGGACATTGTCCGATGTCCGACAGTAATTTGCAGCCCTGGACATATGATGACGACAAATCAGTTTCAATAGGACCTATCTTACAATTATTTCACTTAATAACCCAATCTCCCCTTGACAAGAAGTAAAATTGTCTGGCATTAGACAGAGTAAAATAATATTAAAGTATCAAAAGTAGGGCATGTTAAGGTCCACTGTAATTTAATGGGTTAACTAGACACATGGGCAGACAGACTGTGATTAACCCATTGAGCACTATAGAGCTTTCCCCTTAACTTAGTAAAATTGTCTGGCATTAGACAGAGTAAAGTAGGGTGCAATGCAATTTAATGGGTTAAAAATGTCACAAAAGTACAAAGAAATGATCATTTGCTGGGGACTTAGCCTGCAAATGAGAATTTGGTCAAGCAAGGCAAGCTAGCCCAGTTTCCCAAGCCAGGCTAGCTGATGACTGATGCGAACAGCCACAAAAAGTGCTAATAAAATTGTAATAAACGTATTTTGTCATTTGCAATTTTGATCACTTAATTTCACGGTGACATCATGCTTGAATACCCTTCTCATTTGAATACAAAACTCTTCAATTTTCTACCACAGGAAGTTACGAAAATGTCGGTTTTTGTTTGAGCAACAAATCCTAACGGCAAGCACAAGAAAGAGAGCACAAAAACCGGCGATACAATATGATATTCCGTAATAAAAAGCCAGCCAATATCGAGATAATTGCTTGCCCTCCCCTGCAGACGCTTATCGCAATAGTATAATACAGTGACATTTATAATTACAAAGTCTGTTCACTTTCCCGCACAAAAAGCCGTAAAATTTCAATAAAAAATGAGGTGTTATTAACAATGAAAAATGCCAATAAGTAAGACCAGACCCCATAATCATTTTCGATCAAGTCATGTTAATTTTTCAGGAAGAAATTATATAATTCATATTGTGCAAAGTGAACAAAGTTCAAATATTAATAATTTCCGAATAGCTCAAAATCTGAACATCTCAAAAACAAACAAATAGATTGTTTTTTTCGGCGGTGTCGAATTTCCCCGGGTAAGTTTAAACCGCTTAAAGTTATTCACAAACGGGGCTTTAAACGGAGATAAGTAAATTGCTGTGATTTTATTTTTTTTTAGGAAATGTTTTCGACTTGTTTTTAAACACGAGAACACGCCGCGTCTGTGTAATTTAAGTTCCTTGCTGAGATCCCCTGCAATTCGTTTAATTACACAACTAACACAAGGTTTTGCTGATTACACAGTGTATATTTCGGGACCCTCGTGGAAAGCACTGGCATGGTTTAGAATTACTATAAAACCTACAGGAATTTGTTCAAATGTTTTTATTCGGGGGCGAAACGATGACAAAGCAATTTAGAATTTCAACTTTTCGTAGTACACCTTACCTCGAGGCTTGAGCCAGCTTGGAAGACATAACATAAGTGCGCATTTTTTCGTGTTATGTTTAGTCCAAAACACTTATCAAACCCTCTCAGAGATTCCTGTGCACATAGTGCCACAATATACAACGGCACGGTTAGAATCAAAGCATGACAACCGACAGTGGAAATCTTTAATACACCTTCCTTTATAACAAAGTCGACACGGCTAGGTTCGGAGCAGCCTTTTTTGACCCGTTTAACGCTTTCCAAAAGCAGCGAAATCGACTGTACTTCGGACACTTGACAGTATCCTAGATAGTCCACAATGAAGTGTAGTTCTTGGTTGAAAATATTTTCGTCCACCGAACCTGTTCGGCTGCGATACGGTTCCTCTATAAACAAATTGTCCGGGTCAGATAAATCCTTAGGCAGTTCATCGCCGTTAACCGCCTCTGAATCCGTCCTTGCTCGACTAGGCCTTGTCAGAAATTTCCTAAGCTTCGGCAACATTTCAGCCCTTTCGCAGATAGATCATTGCCGTTCAAAATATCATGGCTAACTCTAAACTTTCCAACATGTTCCCTATGCATATGGCTACCAATAAGCTGGCACGTTCGGATATCTTGCACCGCTTGAATTGTACTTCCACGCGATTTTTCAAGCTCATGCTACCAGTCCGACCGCCGTTGAATCTCAGGCCATCTACGCGTTAAATTCTGAGAGTTTTAGATGCGAAATTCGCGATTTAAATGGCATTTATCGAAGTTGTTTTCCAAAGTTCAGTGCTTTTGTAATGAGTGGTAAAAGCGAAACACACGCATTGTCGGAGAATTCAATAACAACGAGTCTGGCGCTCTTCACGCTGATTGGTCAATACTCGAGATACCTCATTAAAATCACGCGGGACAAACACGCACACGAAGCAAAATTGTAATAACAACAGTCGAGGGTCCGAAACGCGAGGGAAATACATCGAGGGTCGAGGGAGATATTAAATTTTCGTCGAGGATCGAGGAAGATTATGGTACGGGTAAAGGATTGATCGTAAATTAAACTTAAAACTTAAAGCTGCCCTGATTTGTATCGTTTTGTGTTCATAATAAGAAAGATTACTCCATAATCTGCACACGATCCTCGCTCTGCCACGAAGGCTCGACTCACACGCGTACAAGGTTCACAAGAAAAACAACATGTATTGGCAAAAACAACAGGGGTTATATAAAAACCGCGAAATCATGGCAACTGATTTATGTGTACAATATCTGAACGTCCTTCGGGCACTGGACGTTGTTATTTTAATAACGAATGGCAAAATGGATAGACTCCAAAGCCAAAACACGAAATCTTGTTGACGTTGTGCTATGTTAGTCTAATACTTGAAAATATTTTATAATTCCATGGGAAAATGCAACGGTAAAAACATGCGATATTGTAACGTATGACGTGGGCACAGCAGGGCTAATTGTAATAACAATAAATTTGAATACACAGACTTATAGTATTAATGCAGACGCGTTTTGGCTGGGAAACTGAGGGGGTAAACAGTCTTTTGTGGTCAGACACAAGGTATAAACAAAACTGCAAAAATAGAACGTCTTCAATAGTCTACCATCCATTACATTTATCAGTACATAAAACTTGCTATTGTATTCCGTTACAGCGTTCCAAGCGGTGTTTACCTAGAACAATGATTCGCTTGTGCCAAGAGAAAATAGCATACATACAAATATCAGGAGAATTTTTGGCAAACAATTAACTGTTTGTATATATTTGAGCAAGGAGACGCAATTGTAACTTTGCATAAACTATTTTAAAACTTTGAACTATTTTGGCAACTGTAGTGTAGGGCACTCGATGATCATTGCCTGCATACCTACTACTTTAGCGGGTTGTTATTCACATTTAATGTACATTATATGGCTTTGTGCTGATTATTGAATATTGAACCAAACTGCTGTAACTAATTTGGTTCAATAATAGATATAGCTTTATCATTTCTAAACTGGCTGTTCTACTTTTACGCCATGTAAAAAGCATCCCGGTTCCTCATCAGCGCCGGCCGAACCCGTTTTCCCGCATGGATTTTTTATGTTTTATTAATTTAATTACAAATTATTGTTTTCAGCAGTCAGCGACGAACCACCTTTCTTTGACATTGAACGATGTAGTTGACCCAAGCAGTAATACAACTTTTGTTTTGTCAACCACTTTTGCAAATGATTGTTATTTTGTACTGTTCGAACATGGCGGATATTCTTGCCCTTGGCAATTGGAAAGCTAGTGTAACAGTATTGTTACGATGCGGTGCGTGGTTTGAACAAATTCTTCCGTACATGTAAATAACTATAATTTGGTAAAAAAAAGTTTAAAATCCGCCCACCCGCACGGATTGTTTTACTGCATGCTATACTGATGCACCGAGATATTTTTTACATGGCCATAGATGGGTCCAGTATGGAGGAATTAACCCTTCCTTAAAGTTGAATAAATCTTCTTAAATTTTATATAAGTAGTAATTACCTCAACAAATATATATTAAATCCTACACAAAACCTTTATTCGTTTATGATTTCATCAGAGAAAGTTCTTTAAAATCACGCATTTCCACATATCTTAATTCTACAGTGCTCGTGGGGTCGGTTGTTCAAAAGTGGGTTAGCGCTAACCCTGGGTCAAAATTTAACCTGCTGTTTTAGTTTGTGTATTTCTGCACGTCTGTTTATTTCTAAACTTCAGAGAAGTAAATTCCTATCGATACAGACAAGATCTCGCATGGACTCTGAAGAAATAGTTCAAAACTTATAGACAAGCTGTCACGGAGTTTGCTTTGAATTTTAGGTTAATCTAGGATTAAGTTTACCCAGCTTTGAACAACCATGCAGCCCTGCACAAATTCTAGCCTAATTTATAATCGATAGGTGTTTTGGAAACTCATGCATCTTCGCAATTTTGCCCGACATTGTGCGGCAGCCTTGGTCAAATATTAGCTGTCGTTACTTGACACGTTTTGCGATCAAATATGGCACTGATGCTCCACGCGGTGGCTCCAATTAGGTGTCATGCATTCCTATCTCCTGAACTTGGCCGACGATGCGGTAATTATTCACCGCCAACCCATCGACTCTCTGCACTATGATCAACTTTGAGCTATTCCAAGTTGAGTTTTTGCAATCTTACTCGTTTCACCAGTAATATCCAGTCAAGTTGAACTCTCGTCAACTCTCATGCAACTCTTATTCTCGTCTGACTGTCTGGGGCATGTGATATGTAATTCTCATGCAAATTCTCGCTTGTCAACTCTTATCAATTATCATTCTTTATTTATATTGGATAGTTCTAAACAGTTCTTCCTAGAGGTCCTATAGGCAGTAAGATCCATCCTTTTTGGTCCAGTGTTACTCTTGGAAGAATATCTGGAGAAAACGGCTGTTTGGTGCAGTCAAACAAACTGGAATTATTCTGAGGCAAAATTATTGTCAGACCTCAAAATCTCTCGAATTGGCTCATTTGACGGTCTATCCTATACAATTACTTTATGGTTTCCGTGTTTGGATGGCCTGATCCAAACACGCGGGAATGTTGCGAGAGTTAAGAAAAGCGCGCGAATCACGAGCCGAAGGCGAGTGATTTTGCGCGCTTTTCTTAACTCGAGCAACATTCCCAAGTGTTTGGATCAGGCCATCCTAACAGGGAAACCATAAAGTAATTGTTTTATAAAATAACAACAACACGATACTATCTCTTCCGTGTTTGGATGGCCTGATCCAAACACGGGTTTCGACCAATCAGAGCACGCGTTATATACATGTTATTTTATAAAATCAGTTATGTGATCAGTTTCATTTTCAATTGTCTATCCAGTTTGTTATGAGATCAGTTCACGGGTCACAATGTGAAGCCATCAACTGATTTCGTGACCCTATCAAAAACGAAGCCAATTCGAATGAGATTTGGAGCAAGTCTAGACATCTTCTAACCCGAATATCAAGACTATATGTTCCCCGCCTTACGCTATAAGGGAGGCAAGGTTTCCTAGAAACCCCTAGAGACCCCCAGGTCTAATCATAGAACGAAATTGTTGTCAGACCTCCAAGTCCAGACCTCCAAGTCCAGACCTCCAAGTCCAGACCTCCAAGTCCAGACCTCCAAGTCCCTCAAATTGGCTCATTTTTCATATGGTCTATTCACTCAGTTATGAGACCAGTTTCATTTTCAATTGTTTATCCTTTGCGGCAACGTACAATGCGAGGCCTTGAACTGATTTCGTGACCCTATCAAAAACGAAGCCAATTCGAATGAGATTCGAAGCAAGTCTATGCATCTTCTAACCTGAATATCAGGCCCATATTTTCCCCGCCTTGCGCTAAAGGCCCATACAGACCGGACGCGATTTGGCAACGCGACGCGAATTTTCAGTTTTCAATGACATTTAACTTTAATATTTTTCAATATTTTTCAAATATTCGGAACCACTTAAGCAATTTTAGCTATTTGGTCTGCATATCTTGTAAAATTTTTATCCGTTGACGGTTTGTTTTTGACGGTTTGCGTCGCGTTGCCGAATCGCGTCCGGTCTGTGTCGGGCCTTAAGGCGGAGAAAATATATGCCTTGTTTGCCTAATTGCTCCCTTGTTCCCTAGAAACCCTCGGAGACCCCCAGGTCTAATCAAAGAGCGCACTTAAGGTAGATTGGTTATAAGTCTGTCACGCCTTATGAGAAGAAGAATATATTAACAGTCATGAATGAATGAACGAATGAACGAACGAATAAATGAATAAATCACGACATTTTTAATTCAGCAATGATCTACACGCTATATTTCCTTGCATTTAATTTAAGTAATCCGAAGCAATTTTAGATCATATCTCCCGAGCCCTCAGTAGTGCTACACTTCCCATATCGATAGCGATGGAAAAACTTTCCACCTTTCTTGATCTCACATTCCAAGCCTTCTGCACAACCGCAGCTTCTCTTGCCAAATCCAAAGTAGGATTTCTGTTTCTAGAAAGAAAATAGGAAAGTTTGACATTTTACAGTTACCACGAGTATAACAGGAAGTCTAAGATCTTGGCGACGAACTATCGACCAAGTTTGAAATATTTTTGTTATCTATGCAAATAATACTAAATGCATGTCATCATAAACTTAAACCTAGCACCTTTATATCGCTTTGTGTTCCGCAAGTTCATCTTTAATTCTTTATAAAAAAAATACTCTCTTTCTCGTTGCATTTAAAATTGTTCATTTGTGCACAGCATATACAGTGGTGCCGCCGTAATTTTAGGTTCATTCAAATCCAATGAAAAATTGGGGATTGTTGGCAGAAAGTGTTGCGTATCTTGCGGGCATTTATTGATAGAATCTACTGGTCTTTGTTCTTATTACTATGAATCTCTGCGTGACTATGTCTCCTAATGAATTAAACCTTCAAGTATTCTGAAATCAATAGTTGATACTGTAAAAGGCGATTTATTACGACGATTGTATTTCTCACAATGCGCAGGAAATGTCGTTTCAGAGACTGAAACTTCACATTTTTCCCGGAGGAGCCATGCCCCAAGAACCCCCAAAATATTATTAATTTAACTTTCCATTCCAAAATGCGCCACGGCGCCACTAAGCATATAATGAGCATTGGGAATTGTACGCAATGCATAAGTTATATAACAAGTACTAGTTGTTGTCAAGTCGATATCAGAATGTGTTTGCACTATCTGTTCCCAGTTGTTGTGACAAGTCTGGAATGAGTTTTTACCATCTTGTTGCATGACGTCGACAACAAGTTGCATGACGTTCGTAACAAGTTGCTACCGGAGCTTGTTAACAACTTGTTATGACACAATCTCGTACCCAGAGCAATGCCTGTGCGCGGGCTAGGATGGCATTGGCTCTGGGGAAATTGAATTTTTCCTGTGCTGTGATTGGCTTGACGTTTATCAATCGTGCATGCCGACAAAGAACCGGAACCCCTAAATTTAGGGGTTCCGGTTGTCAATTTCCCCAGAGCCAATTGCCATCCTAGCCCGCGCACAGGCATTGCTCTGGGTACGAGATTAGTTATGACACTTATGCAGTGCTCTCACTTTTAAGGAATTATCCTTAAAAATAGGAATTTTGAAGAGTTTTAAGGATTTTTTTAAGGAATTCAGGTTTTTGAGGATTTTTTTAAGGAATTTCCAAAACATTTTATCCTGGCCTAAAAACGTTTTGACGGAGAATAACCACGCCACGCAAATGAGATTTAAACTTGAAAGTAGCAACATTATATGCACATAATTACATATATTCGTATTTTCTTTATGTCGTAAATGTACATATGGCTGTCTTTCCATTAAAATTCTCAAAAGTTAATGTCAGTGTATGCTGTTTCTTCTGAAATCTACAGATTTTCTAAGTTCTCAGGACCCTAGCGAACGGGGGAGGGAGGGGGCAACACCCCTAATATTGCTCATGAACAATTTCAGGTAGATATCCTGTAGATTTTCAGGTAAATTCAGGTAATTCTCAGGGCATAAAAAAGTGAACTCTCTAATCTGAATTGGAGTTAACAATCAAACAAATTAAAGACGTTGAGATGTGTTGTGGCAGGGAGACAATTGCGAAATACCCTTTCTGACGATCTGGAGACTCCAAATTTCCAAAGTTTTCTCAATTTCCCATTAAACTGAAAGTAGCAATACTTATCTTCATTGTTAGGCAATACTAAAATATTGGGTAGGAAAAACTCTAAAAATGCCATTTCCGACGGTCTAGAAACTTCAAATTTTCAAAAAATACGGTAAATCAGGTAAATCAAATAAAAAATTCAGGTAAATCAGGTGAAAAAACCACTTTTTGCAACTATGTGATCAGGCCTTGTAGTAATTTTACCAATTTAAAGAATTTTAAGGAAATCTGAGGAATTTTCGAGCTTTTTCTAAGGAATTCGAAAATTTGATTGTGAGAGCACTGCACTTATGTGCAGACGATAATTGTTGGAACAACTTGTTGCGAGTCTGTTAACCTTATTGCAAGATGATAACAACTTGTTTCAGACTTGGCAACAAACAGTGTGAGAGCATCTTGTTCACAAGCTGTGAGACTACTCAGACTGACAAATATCTGCTGTATGATACTGCTCATAGTCCAGGAAGTCAATCTGTGACCAGAGGTCAAAGAAATTGCAATAGAATTTTTCTCAGTGGTAAAATGTGAGGGAAGGTGTCCCGATTAACATACTAAAAATTAAAAAAAAAATCCCCTCGGTGGAACATGGTGAAATTCAAGTTTTTCTTACTTCTACCTATAGAAAATTAAATCATTGTGGACAGAATGTTCAAATTTTGAAATAATTTTTAGGCAAAAGCAACGCAACCGTTTAATGATCTATATTTTAGTTTTTTTCTAAGCTTTCCAATGATGCATGTTATATTTGCAAAAAAGTAATTTCAAAATTTCAACATTTTGTCCGCAATGGTTTTCTATAGGTAGAAGTAAGAAAAACTTGATTTTCACCATATTCCACCGAAGGGATTTTTTGGGATTTTTAAAATGTTAATCAGAACAACTTTTCACACACTTTACCACTGAAAAAAACTCTATTGCGATTACTTTGATCAGGACCATGTACTTATAGTGATTTGACTGGACTATCAGTGAAATCTATTGCTACATGTTGTAGAGCTCCATATATACCCAGAGTGAGAATGCAAGTCCAAAAAGTTTAGGCAAGATGGAGCTATTGGGCGTCAGTTCCAGTCCCTTTTCAATTGTTTTTGTCTGCGCGGTTAAAACGAAGCTTCAAGGAGCGGTGCCGCAATTTCGTGTTTTGACCTTGATTTAAAAACTAATATTATGATTTTATAAACTGATAACTTGTTTAGCGATACGGTCCGGACTTCCAGTAGAAAAAAACTAGAATTAGCTGGGGAAAATGGTATTTGATTAATGTTCACGACTTTCATAGCTATACAATAGCCAGGGGTGTCGGAGTGGCTCTAAAAGTGGGGGGGGGCACACTTAGCGGCAGCCGAAGGGGCGTGACAATTTAGGGGGTTCGGGGCATGCTCCCGGGAAAATTTTAAAACTAGAGTCTCTAAAATGCCATTTCCTGCAGTTTAGAAGAAGATTTAAAGAGTTCTAAAGGTAACAAAAAGTCATAAAATATCTATTTTGTCTACACCCACAACTGAATTAAAATATCAATTAATTTTGTGATTTATTATTTACCATTGTTAAAAAGTGAGGGAGGGGGCCAAAGTCATTTCGGTCCCCCAACTAAAAAAGTGGTGCCCCCCCTCGCTTCCGACGCCCCTGTGAATAGATCTTGGTTACTGGACGTTAATTTCGATCCGCCATCTTGGCCTCACTTTTCTCATAGGGCGCATGACTGAAGTTCTTGTTGCTCCATATATACCGTAAACCTCGTTCATAAGCATTTTTTGATGGGCTTATACATGGAGGGGGGGAGCCTTATATACTATACGGACGACATTTGATGTTGGTAATATACAATTACTTTATGGTTTCCGTGTTTGGATGGCCTGATCCAAACACGCGGGAATGTTGCGAGAGTTAAGAAAAGCGCGCGCTTTTCTTAACTCGAGCAACATTCCCAAGTGTTTGGATCAGGCCATTCGAACACGGAAACCATAAAGTAATTGTTTTATAAAATAACAACAGGGTTTAAAATTCCCGCGAAGGCACTTTAAATTTCCGTGTTTGGATGGCCTGATCCAAACACGGGTTTCGGCCAATCAGAGCACGCGTTATATGTATACATGTTATTTTATAATAATATTTATTGCATGTACCTGTAATGCATGCTGTGAACGAAAAGAAATATAAACATACAACATACAACACATAATAAAACAACTTGGTTAACATATTATAATGTGATTATCGTCACTTGTCTGAGTTGTTGGACTCCCCGTTGCTACGTTAATAAATACCTGTCCAATAATAAGCCCATGGGCTTATACACGGAGGGAATGGAGGGGCATATATTCAAGAGGGCTTATATTTGGAATGGCCTAAGCATTAGTGAATATGGTGGGCTTACACACGGGGGGGGGGCTTATATTCCGGGAGGGGGCTTATATTCCGAGAGGGGGATTATATTCCGGGGGCTTATATTCGGAGGTTTACGGTATAGAGAGAGAGCTGACTGGTCGCACCCTGCTATAAAGATATATGATAGCCACCTTGTAACATTTATCTCCTTCTTGTAAATAAGCACTGCACTTTCCGTAACGATAAGTTGAACGATATTTCAGACAGCATTGTCCTTCATTGCAATCATCTTCGGATTTACATTTCTGCAAAAACCAAATGAATTAGGGGGAAACAGAACATTAATATACTGAACAATAAAAGATATACGTAACTCATAATTGGTTGTTTCAATTTGACTTCATGCTGATTTATAACATAAATTTAAGTTCAATTTTCTCACCAAATATCATTAATTTATTATAAATTGTTGAAGAATACGAATGTTCTCATCAAGATGTTTCACAAGCGGTACATGCAACAACATTCGCGTCCGTGTTGTATGTGCGATACAACACGTTATGGTGCAAATAGTACATCAATAGGGGATGGGTCTTACTAGACCTTTAGAGTGAACAGTTTAGAACTGTGAATAAAGTTAATTTAGCGTATGTTTCCTCCTGTACTAAGGGACGACCATTATTGGACCTCCAGCCTGGGAGAGCAACTTGGAACCGATAAATCTATAAATAAGTCAGTTTAGTTTAGCCATTTACCTTGATACATCTCATACGGCAACGGCCTCTGCAGCACACCCCTTTACGACAATCACTGTCTGATTTACATTTCTAAAATATAAAATTGGTGTTATGTGGGGCATTTTACCAAAATGCATCCCATGTTACACACGCCTAATTTTAATTAATCTGGCCATTTTACTTTAAACTATCTATTTCGTTTTAATTTAAGCTTCTTGTTTACACAACGAAATTGGGGTAACCAGGGTTTGACTCGAATTAATTCGGGACGTGGATATAATAGTGCTTTTCGCCCAATTTGATTGGTTGCTGAGCTCCGAATATCCTTGCACCTCCGAACCAAAACAAAACGTCTCCTGCCATTCCGGTTCATAGATATCTTATATACATGTACTAGATAGTGCATCTAGTTATTCTGCAATTCAAAAATTGAAGCCGTGATTGCAGACTCGGGATATTCCCATGAAATGAGAAGACTCGTATCAATGTTTTCTGTTTCTTAAACAGGGAACTTAAACATTAAGTTAAACCTATTCCAAATACATTTTCAAACTATTCAAATGATGAAAGTTATTGTTTTTTAAGCGTTTATTAGCGAGTGGGAAACTCCAACATGGCCGCCATCTATTCAAATGGGGGTAACCGCTGGAATATTCTTGGCTTCAATTTTGCTAAAAGAGATGAGCTATATCTAGTGTATATAAGATATCTGTGTTCCGGTTACGGACGAGCAATTATTTTGCTAAGGGAAGCCTCACATATCGATTTTGTCCACGAGAAACATCATATGTTCGTTTGGGGGTAGGGTGGGGGGTTGCAGCTGTGACGTTTCTCTGCAAAACATCATGGGAAAATTCGATAGTTTCTTCGAAAGCCTTTAACATTTCGGAATCATCTTTGCAGAATATAAAAAACGGAAAACAACTTGATACAAACACCAGTCTATACATTCGTAATACCATACCTGTTCTATATATATACATTGAAAACACTCAAATTTCAAGAAAAACGCGCTAAAATTGTCAAAATCTCAGGCAAAATATTGTTTATTAATTTTATATTAATAAAAAAAACATATGCCAGCAGATGACATATTCCTCGCGGAAGCATCGCCAAATAATTCAGGGACGTCGCTATAGGGGGTGTGGGGGGTGTACACCCCCCAATAATTCAAACGTTGGTCAAACTTGTTCAAAATGGAACTGATATTTGCCCAAAGTTGGTCAAAATGGAACTGATATTTGCTTAAAATTGAAGGTAAAACTCGGAAAAATTTGATAAAAGTTTGGAATATAAGATGGTCGAAGATGTTAAAATTAATGAAATGGTTCACACTTTTAACAATTTTAAAGCTTCAGTTACATTTGCGGTGAAAAAATCGGAAGCATTGCTTATATTGGTCGAAAAATTTTGAATATGCTTATATTAGTCCGGAAAAATATTTTTGACTATATTAATCCGGAAAATTTTTTTGACCTCCCTCCCCGACAATATTTCCGGGAAAAATTTTTACGACTTGGTCAAAATCCTATGTGCTGCCGTTTTGTTTGCAACTATTAATACGGGAGTTGTTTGTCAACTGTAATACAAATGGTTATTGGTTTATTTTCTTTGTTTTTTTCCTGGCCACTTTTGTTTTGTTTTCGCGTCTCGGTGAATATCCTTGTACTGATCTAGTTGTAAAACAACAAGCCCATTTACTAATTTTTATTGCTTTATAGCGTAAAATTTTTCCTTGCCTGACGTTTGTCGTTTACGAAAAGCTACGTCTACGGAGCAACTTTTGATTGAAAATTTCTCTGAACAAGCGGCCAGGAAGGCTGCATTCTGCCTATTCCCGGCTCGATGAGGTCATTTTTTCTGCTACTGATTTCGTCTTTTCAAGTTAGTGATTTCTCACACGGCGGGCATGGCAGTTTATTTAACTGGAGACAACGACAGGTATTCATATACTAGCTAGACTTCGAACCTCGTACTCGACAAAACTAGTTCTGACTAAAGAGTGCAAACGAACGCAGAATTGTGTTTCAGGGTCAACACATATATATAGTCATAGTCAGCATAGTCATAGATGAAATACTTGGTATTCTGCATCGCCGAATCTGGTGGTGGCGGTGGTGGTGGTGGTGGTGGTGGTGGTGGTGGTGGTGGTGGTGGTGGTGGTGGTGGGTGGTGGTGGTGGTGGTGGTGGTGGTGGTGGTGGTGGTAGTAGTAGTAGTAGTAGTAGTAGTAGTAGTAGTAGTAGTAGTAGTAGAACTTTATTTATCCACGCTGACCCCGTCAACCGTAGCTGATTTCCACGGGGGGCGTGTGCCAGATAATTATTTTACATGCAGAATATGATAATGATAAGCTAAGCTATTTACAGTAATATATAAATTTAAAAGATATAACAAATGTTTTGAGTTATTTACAGGTAAATTATATTTACAAAGGTTACCAAGCACTAATGTGAGCAGCGATTTTATTTCGAAAGGAAGAAAGTGACTTGCTTTCCCTAATTTCTTTTGGTATAGAATTCCAAATGTTTGCTCCGTCGTACATAAAACTATTTTTCATGCTATTTGTACGTGGTTTTGGTAAATAAAGACATCCCGAAGGTGGTAATTAGTTTTCTCACTCTTAAACGAAAATAGATTTGTGAGTGATTTTGGGCCCATTTTGTTTAATAACTTATACATCATTCTTGCTTTAGTTTTCTTCCTTTAGTTTTCTACGTCCTGTCTACGTCATTGCTTATATTCAGAATAATTCTTGCCGCTCTATTTTGCAGCTTTTGCAGTCGTTTTGATTGAGTTTCACCAAATACATCCCATACTTCACAATATCTTGACATGATCGGTGTACACGCGAGCACTAACAAAACTGTCAAGCCGGGAAAACTGCGCTCCGTGAGCTGAAATGGAGCAGCTAGAGGCGCCCTACAGTAAAGGCCCTATCACACACACTATTGCGTATGAGAGAAACATATACGAGCAGCGTATAAACCATGCATACGTCCGCATATACGCACAAAATATTTAAAGGCACAGTTCAGCCTTTTGAACGATGTTTTTTAAGGCGCATTTCAGCCCTTTTAATTGAAAAAACTAACTAGGAAAGTCAATTAAGCATAATTCAAGATCGGCAAACTTCATGTTTTTAACATTTTAAAACATTTTTAATGTTAAAAACATTGAGTTTGCTGATTTTGAATCATGCTTAATTGATTTTCCTAGTTAGTTTTTTCAATTAAAAGGGCTGAAATTCGCCTTAAAAACCATCATTCAAAAGGCTTTCCATGCTCATACAGGGTGTATCAAAACATGAAAAGCGCAATCCTCGATTGAAATATAAATTGCTAAACAAATAATAGACGAAAACGTTAAAGTTTACATTCATTTTAAAGCGTAGCCATTCCGCTTTCTAACAGTGGGTTGTTTCTTAAATTTGACTCATTGGTTCGCGGGTAATAATACTTTACGTTATTGCGATTGGAGATTAAAAAAATTGAGATGGAATAACTAAACGTTCTCATGAAAATTTCATTAAAACAAAAAAATGTTGCATTTTATTAAATGGATTGTAACAATAAGTATAATTACGGCTTTTCTTCCACTATTTTTAACTCAGTTTGAAACTTCAAATGCGATATAATTTTGGCTTGGACCATCTAAGCTGACTGACATCAACTTGCTATAATTTCTGTTTACATTACATCGCAATTCGATGACACTCTGGCTCAGACACCAGAATGTTTTGACGATTTTTAGCATTCGTTTAGGATTTTAAAACAACCTGGTCTCTTTTAAAATACTTTTAATTTGTTCTTATACGTGGTTTTTCAGATGTAGTGACGACAACATTAAAGTTTAGAGAAGAAAATTCTAACATTTAAACCGACTAAACAATAACATAGTAAACTTGCATAATTAAACAGCAACTAAAAATGATAGGTTTTACTAAATCTTTTCCTGTGCAATTATTACTAGCATTGGAGACAAGGATAATAGTTTGTTTGAAAGAGAAAAGAGCAGGCTTTGAAGTAAGCCTAAAAGCGTTTAACTAGAAATAGTTTTTCGAAAGTTATTAAGCACAAAAGATGAATTGCGTTTATTTTGATACACCCTGTATATGCCCGTATGCCACCTCGCCTGAAGCGCCAATACAACCAAAATGCCTAACGTATCCCTAGCTTATACCAGAGTATTTTCCATACGCAGTCATACGATATGCAATAGTGTGACAGGGCCATAAGTATTCGAAAATATTCTATATCAAATAAATAAATTTTTAAACTTTTGTCGACGGAGGGCCCACCCTGAAACTGAAAGGGATTAAATTTTTTTTGGAAAGCTTATATATTTCTTGCATTTTCGACCATTAACACACATATTTTTGAAATTTTGCTGTTTTTAATTTATTTCCTCCATCTTTTGCCCAACTTACATTTACAATTTGCACAATTTTTAATTTTATGATTATAGAATCCCCGAAAATGGAAACATTTCATAAATTTACCTTGTGCCCCCAACCCCAGCGTCTTTTCTCTTCGTCATCATCTGCCATCACCACGACAGCAAAAACCACAAGCAAAGCAACCAAGATGAAAGCCTTCATTTTTGAGAAGCTGACGCAAAATATCGGTCCTTGTGTTGTTACAAGAAGCTAAGAATGAGGAATAGGTCCACATAATTTGTGATAATGCTTTTTAATTAAAATTTCAGCAGCATCTGATTATACAAATATGTATGATCTTATAGTCAATATTTGTGCAACTGATTTGTGACCAGACGGTTTTTGTAAATATTGTTTCATCCTGAAACGCTTTCATCGGCCTCTTTTAGCGAGACTGGGCAAGTTCTAATTTTAAACTTTAACTTAGCGATACCGATAGAAACTGTATAAGCCTAATTCCACGACGAGCGAAATGCGAAAAATTTCGCGCGAAAAGTTTGAACGCATGCGCAACATGATTTTGGAATGTTTCTCTGCGAAATATTTCTCTTCGCCTGGTAGTTGAATTGCATGGTTTCTACTCCGTTGTGAAATGGAAATAGCAAAGCCAATCAAATGCTTGGGTTTTGGATGGCAAAATAGCGAAACCAATCAAATGCTTGTGTTTTGGCGAAGTTTTTCTCTGTTGTGGAAATCACTACGAGAGAAATTTTCTGTCAAGTGTGTTTTCGCGCGAAATTTTTCACAGTTCTTAAAGCTTTCCCAACACTATCATGCATTCTTTTAAGAGAAGAATCTTTTGTACGTTACGTAACATGTGCTGAAAATTAATGAATTTACTTTTCCAATTGACCATTTGCGTAATAGACTAAATTTTGATCTCAACAAAAATTTCATCACAGCTTGAAAGAGCATCACAAAATTAGTAATATTCCAAAGTTTCGTTGCGAAATGTTGTAAAATGCGGAAAATATAGCCTTGCGAAGTTTGCAATTTTCAGTCATTTTAGATTACAAATGGGAAATTGACAGCCCCAAACGCTTCGAGGCTGTCAATTTCCCGTTTGTAATCTAAAATGACTGAAAATTACAAACTTCGCAAGGCTATATTATCTGCATTTTACAACATTTCGCAACGAAACTTTGGAATACTACTAATTTTGTGATGCTCTTTCAAGTTGTGATGAAATTTTTGTCTAGACTTGTTTAGATCAAAATTTAGTCTATTACGCAAATGGTCAATTGACTATGACTATAATAATAATAATCTATATTCAATTTTTTAAATTTTCGATACGTTTCTCAAGCGGCAAACAAAACTTTAAAAGTATGTTTATTGCCTTATCTCAGTGTAAAATGGGGGAGATGATGTCTGCAGTTAAGTAAGTTTGGCTTATCTGATTGCTGTATATATAAAATACGTCAATTTTACAGCACCAAAGATAATTGTATTTAAATTAAATCGACAATATTTAGATATTATTTTTTTGTGTTTTTCAACCGCCACATACATTTGAGATAACAAAAAGTTTGCTAACTGTGTAAACAACAAAGCTAAAACAAAGCAATTCAGTGAGAGGCCGGAACGCCAAAAAGATTTTAGGTTTTGAACACATTTTATCGCAACATTGAAAAAAAATTGCCTCTTAAGGTAATTCCGCAGTTTTGCATTGCGCACTTTTACTGCGCACATCTTGTAACTTATAATTTCATCCATTGTATACGTAACGTTTAAAAAATCATTTTATGTCAATTTTATGTTACTTCAAAACATCTTTGGTTACATTCGTGCAAAGAATTACGTTAAAATCAATGTTTTCAAAAAAGGCATACAAAAGTGTAGCTAGGGTTCTCTGTGTCTGTATAGTATATTTATTTACTTGTATATTTCACGTTTTAATGCCACAATTCCATAAAAAGATCGGTGACCCCCGTTTTTTAACTGATAATTTATTTCTTTAATGCATTTTACATTTCATATCCGAAATTAAAAGAAAAATCATTTCTGGATCTTGAAAAAAATCCTTTATCAATGCATGTTCTCAAAGAAAGATATGTAAAGAAATGTGGAAAAGACATTTGTGGATCAGAATTGTACACGTTAGTAGTTTCATTTTGCTCAAAACACAATATATTTTCAAAAATAATTACAAGATAGGTTTACTAAAGCAAAATCCGCGCTGAAAACGTCAAAATAAATATCGGGCTGTTGTGATTTTGCTGTTACTCGTAATGAGCGTCAAGATGGCGCCATATTGGGGTAAAGGTGGTAGGCCTATATTGTGATTGTCATATCTTCTTAACGAGTTCGGTGACCCCAACTTTTTTTTGTGATTTTACTTTAAGTATATCATAAACTCCATGCCTGGGAAGTTTCAGCACATTCTCATTTGGGGAACAATTACTGCGGAATTACCTTAAGTTAAAACATAGTTGGAACACTCATCAAGATTGATATAACTGGTTGCAGTGAACGAACAAACTTTAAACCTTTATTTTGTTAATCTAGCGCTTGAAATATCTCCCGTAGGCCGTAACAATAAACTCTCATCAACTTTCATTCTTGTTTGACCGGGCTTATGTCCTAGTGCGCAAACTAGAGCCATGTTTACAATGCGTGCCTAGACCTGTTCATAATGACTGACAAATTTTAACCAGAAAATCAGCGTTAACACTTAACAACCAAGGCTTCCAGTGTAAACACGGATTCAGACCAGGGGGGCGGTTGTTCAAAGCTGGATTAGTACTAACCCTGGATTAAAAGTTTACCCGTCGCCAGTTAATTTGTGTATCTCTACAAGTTTGTTTATTACAAGACTCCAGAAAAGAAAACTCCTATTGATCCAGACCAGATTTCTGAAGAAATATTTCCAATTTGATGAACAAACTGTTGGGAAGTTTGCTTTGAATTTTAGGTTAACCTATATAGGGTTAAGCTCCTCTTTTAAGGATTCGTTGGGATCAAGAAAGAGGGACCTTACTGGGAGGCGGTGAACTGAAAAAGTGCAAGCTGGTAATTCTAGGAGGTTTGTGGTAGTGGGGAACCACTCCCCCAAAAAATGTTCTTATTTTTTAGTCTCTTGAACTTGATTCACTTAATTTTCTGACACACATTTTTGATATATTTCATCCGTTAGCCAAACTTTGGTATTATAAGATATTTTATAACACTCGTCCTAAATATTTAAGTACTTTTTTATTATATTTTAGAAAAGAGAGCTTTACTGGGGGGGGGGGGGATATTTTACTCGAGGGAGCAACACGGGAGATGTGGAGGGTTCTCCAACCCTTGTTCTTGCAGTTAGGAGTATTGTCGTATAAAAATATTTTCCGCTTCCATATAAAAATAGAAGCAAAAATATTTCCCTATAACTCTTCCATGAATGTAATAAATGTTATTTACAGGAAAATATGGCTAGGAAACAATGTTTCCTGGTTTAGAAAGAGCCTAAGCCATGTTTCCAAAGGTGATTAGGGAGCATTCATTTTTTAGTTGGGGGGTGGGCCGGAGGAATTTGGGGGTGGGTCAGCCAATTTTGACATACTTCAAAGGGGTGGGTCTTTTATAGTTTTGGTATAAATGGAGGGGGTCATAAAAATAATCAGTGAAAACGCAGGACCGTAGCATGATTTCAAAATCATGCATGATTTCAAGGTCTGCATGATTTCAAGGTCTGCATGATTTCAAAATCATGCAGACCTTTATCAATTTTAAGCTTTATTAATTTTAAGCGGCTACATTATCCATGACAAACTGCAGAGAATGAAGATATTACCCACAGTTTCCTGCAACTTATCCTAGTTATCCAATATATAGTTTATTAAATACGCCTTCGCCCATTTAGTACTACCAAATTGTAAATTTCGACGTACTAAAATGCTGTTTTCTGACCATCAGAATTCTGTCAAATCTTCCCCCAAAGTCCAGGAAATGGCATTTCAGAGACTCTAGATTTAAAAATTTCCTCGGGCCTTTGGCCCTCGCTTTCAGCCCCCCCCCCCCCCCC